GCCCAAGCTGACATGAAAATATTCAAGATAGAATCATAGAATCATAGAATCAAAGAGTTGGAAGAGACCTCATGGGCCATCCAGTCCAACCCCCTGCCAAGAAGCAGGAATATTGCATTCAAATCACCCCTGACAGATGGCCATCCAGCCTCTGTTTAAAAGCTGATGATAACTCAACTATAAGTGTACCATACAAATTCAAAATTGGGTTCATAAAGACATTTTCTACAGCAAAACAAATAAAAATAGAATTGAAAATAGTTACAGAAACACCCTATATACTTGAGTAAAAGCATTGTTTTTCAGCCCTTTTTTTAGGCTGAAAAAGCCCCCCTTGACTTATACTCAAATCAAAGTTATTTATTATTTTACTCTGTTATTATTACATTTATTATTTACTCTATTTTATTGTTATTATTACATTTATTATTTTACTCTATTATTGTTGTTATTACATTTACATTATTTATTCTATTATTATTACTATTACTACTATTATTACATTTATATTATTTTACTCTATTATTGTTGGGTTGTTGTAGGTTTTTTCGGGCTGTATGGCCATGGTCTAGAGCAGCGGTTCTCAACCTGGGGGTCGCGACCCCCCAGGGGGTCGTTTGGCCATTTCGGAGGGGTCGCGAGGCCGCCTCCTTAGGCCCCGCCCACAAGGCTGCGAGCCCTCCCTGGGCGCCTTCGTAGCCTCGCCATTTGGCGAGCCCGCAGGGGAGCCCAGGAGGGGCTCGCGCGAAGGCTGTCTCGGCTCCCTCACCACTTCACCAAATGGCGAGGCCGCGAGGCAGCCGGGGGCTCCTTTGCGCAAGTCCTCCCTGGGCTCCTTTGCGGCCTCGCTATTTGGCGAGCCCGCGGGGGAGCCCAGGAGGGGCTGGCGCGAAGGCTCCCTAGGCTCCCTCATGGCTTCGCCAAATGGCGAGGCCGCCGGGGGCTCCTTTGCGCTAGTCCTCCCTGGGCTCCTTCGCGGCCTCGCCATTTGGCGAGCCCGCGGGGGAGCCCAGGAGGGGCTCGTGTGAAGGCTGCCTCGGCTGCAACTCCCAAATGTCAAGTCAAACCCCTCCCCAAACTCCTCCGGTGTTCACATTTGGGCGTATTGAGTATTCGTGTCAAGTTTGGTCTGGATCCATCATTGTTTGAGTCCACAGTGCTTTTGGAGGTAGGTGAACTACAATTCCAAAACTCAAGGTCCATGCCTGCCAAATCTTTCCAGTATTTTCTGTTGGTCATGGGAGTTCTGTGTGCCAAATTTGGTTCATTCCATCGTTGATGGAGTTCAGAATGCTCTTTGATTGTAGGTGAACTATAAATCCTAGCAACTACAACTCCCAAGTGTCAAGGTCTAATTTCCCCAAACTCTACCAGTGTTCACATTTGGGCAGATTGAGTATTCTTGCCAGGTTTGGTCCAGATCCATCATTGTTTGAGTCCACAGTGCTCGCCTGATGTGAGTTACAGCTCCAAAACTCAAGGTCAGTGGTCACCAAACCCTTCCAGTATTTTCTGTTGGTCAAGGGATATCTGTGTGCCAAGTTTGTTTCAATTACATTGTTGGTGAAGTTCAGAATGCTCTTTGATTGTAGGTTAACAATAAATCCCAACAACGATACCGCTGAGTTGCTGAGCTTGTTGACCCAAAGGGCACAGGTTCTAATCCAGGAAGCAGCATGAGCTTCCGCTGTCAGCCCCAGCTTCTGCCAACTTAGCAGTTCAAAAACATGCAAATGTGAGTAGATCAATAGGTACTGCTCTTGTGGGAAGGTAACTATGCTCCCTGCAGTTATGCTGGCCACATGACCTTGGAGGTGTCTACGGACAACGCTGGCTCTTTGGCTTAGAAATGGAAATGGGCACCACACCCAAGTCAGACATGACTGGACATAATGTCAGGGGAAATCTTTTACCTACAACTCCCAAATGACAAAACCAACTCCCCCCCCCCAACCCCACCAGTATGCAAATTTGGGTGTATTGGGTAATTGTGCCAAATTTGGTTTGGGGGTCACCACAACATGAGGAACTGCATTAAGGGGTCACGGCATTAGGAAGGTTGAGAACCACTGGTCTAGAGGCATTCTCTCCTGACGTTTCGCCTGCATCTGTGGCAAGCATCCTTAGAGGTAGTAAGGTCTCACTACCTCTGAGGGTGCTTGCCGCAGATGCAGGCGAAACATCAGGAGAGAATGCCTCTAGACCATGGCCACACAGCCCGAAAAAACCTACAACAACCCAGTGATTCCGGCCATGAAAGCCTTCGACAATCTATGATTGTTGTTTTTATTACATTTATTATTTTACTTTCTTTATTATTATTGGAAGGATACATAATAAGCACATTTACATCAAAGAAGGTTTGAATAATGGTTTAATCAGAATCAAATTTACCAGTAGCTGCTGCAATTCCCACCCTTGGCTTATACTTGAGTCAATACACTTCTAATGGTAAAATTAGGTGTCTTGGCTTATATTCGGGTTGGCTTATACTCAAGTATATATGGGTAGTTGACTTTCATCTTAAGTTTTGCATTTTTATGTGTTTTTATTGCTATTTTTCTTTTTCTTTTTTTGTAAACCCGCTTCAAGTCAAGGTCTGGGAGAAAGTTGCAATATAAATAAAATGATGGGTGGTCACATTAGATAGCCTGTCAAGTTTGGTGATTCTGTGATCAAGCATGTGATGCAAGCATAACAGACTAAATTATAGGATACATGTCTTGCAATGTGTATCCCTTAGGCTTTCTGACTCCCACAGAAAAAAAAACTGGGAGGGAGAGGAAGTTAAAAGATTATGCCTAAGATCCGAAGATCCTGAAGCTATTTCTTGGGATAAAGAGGCTTCCAAATAAGCAGAGGAAATGCTCAGAGAAGCACCACTAACTTCCTCTAATATCAAAGTCTTCTTGACATTAGCTCCATCTAATCCCCATCCAGGGAAGTCATGCTACTCCTCTATTCTGCCTTGGTCAGACCACACCTGGAATACTGTGTCCGATTCTGGGCACCACAATTGAAGGAAGATGTTGACAAGCTGGGATGTGTCCAGAGGAGGGTGACTAAAATGATCAAGGGTCTGGATAACAAGCCCTAGGAGGAGTGGCTGAGCATGTTTAGCCTGAGAGGAGACATGATGGCCATGTATAAATATGTGAGGGGAAGTCATAGAGAGGAGGGAGCAGGTTGTTTTCTGCTGCCCTGGAGACTAGGGCACGGAACAATGGCTTCAAACTACAGGCAAGGAGATTTCACCTGAACATTAGGAAGAACTTCCTAACTGTGAGAGCTGTTCAGCAGTGGAACTCTATGCCCCAGAGTGTGGTGAGGCTCCTTCTTTGGAGGCTTTTAAACAGAGGCTGGATGGCCATCTGTCAGGGGTGCTTTGAATGTGATTTTCCTGCTTCTTGGCAGGGGTTAGACTGGATGGCCCACGAGGTCTCTTCCAGCTCAATGATTCTATGATCTTCATCTCCTTGGAGATGAAGCATCTCCAAGCATATCACAAAAGGTCAAGGGGCAAAGCTTCCCCCAAGAATCAAGACTGAAAACAGTGAATAGCTTTATTCACATTGCAGAATTACAGCAATTTGACAACACTTTAACTGCTATGGTTCAATGGTCTACAGTTCTGGGATTTGAAGTTTGGTGAGATATTTAGCCTTCTCCTTCTCCAACAAATGGCAAACCTCATAGCATTGTGTAATGGCAGTCAAAGTGGTATCGAGCTGTTATAATCCTTCCTTCACTCTGGCTACATCCAGAGAGAGATGAGCAATAACCGATCAGTACAGCTTTCACTTGACGTATTCTCATCATTTGGTTTTATTGGGCTATTTATAATAATGATGTATGTTTCTTGGATGCTTCCATGACAATATATGAAGACAATCAGGCCATCAGCAATAAAGGAACACAGCCTCTCCCCTTTTCCTGGCATGGCCCCTTTACTTATAAATCAAATCTGGTATATTAATCTCAGCAATGCAGCCTGAATGATTAATTATTTAAATCTGTAATTGCTAATAAATTGCTTGATATTATTCACAGTGCCCTTTGGAAAATGTTATGTAAGTCCCAATAAAACGTCCTTCTGTGAGCTTTCACTCTCAGCCCTTCCCCTTGTAGTCTTGTTGCACAAAATTGGGATACCTGTCCAAATGTATCTCCCTCTGTGAACCATCTCGGAGGTTCATCTGGTAAGGCCCTGCTCTCTGTCCCACCTTCTTCGTAAGTGTGATTGGTGGGGACAAGAGACAAGGCCTTCTCAGTGGTGGCCCCTTGGTTGTGGAACTCCCTCCCTAGTGGGGACAAAAGACAAGGCCTTCTCAGTGGTGGCCCCTCAGTTGTGGAACTCCCTCCCTAGTGGGGACGAAAGACAAGGCCTTCTCAGTGGTGGCCCCTTGGTTGTTGACCTCCCTCCCTAGTGGGGACGAAAGGCAAGGCCTTCTCAGTGGTGGCCCCTCAGTTGTGGAACTCCCTCCCTAGTGGGGATAAAAGACAAGACCTTCTCAGTGGTGGCGCCTCGGTTGTGGTACTCCTTCCCTAGTGGGGATAAAAGACTAGGCCTTCTCATTGGTGGCCCCTCAGTTGTGGAACTCCCTCCTTAGTGATATCAGGGCAGCCCCCTCCCTTCTAGTGTTTAGAAAGAGAGTCAAACCTGGATCCAGGAGCAGGCGTTTGAAAAATAGATCAGTGCAGCAATGTTAGTATGGAATATCTGCAATTTGACTATGGATTGGCCTTTAGACTACGACTGGATGGCATAATTCATTGAAATGCATTTTTATTATGCTTATTATGTTTTCATTTTTGATTTATATCTTAACTTATGTTGTATGTTTTAATGCATCATGGCGGTATGATTGTAAGCTGCCTTGAGTCCCCCTTGGGGTAGAGAAAGGCGGGATATAAATAAGGTAAATAAACATTTTAGAAGTAGTTAGGAATATCAGGTAGCTAATGATCCTTTCCAACTATACAAAGGTTCAGATACTTACGGCTGTTGGGCAGCACTTTCCCGACAGATCTTGCTGATATAATTTGCCGGGACGTAGCCCACAAGTGGATCTCCAGAAAGCCGCCTGGCCAAGACATATCCCCCTTCTTCTTTGAGGACACAAAGCTTCTCCCCGCGGTTGACGCTCAGCTCCTCTGTGCTTCTGGCTGTGAAGTCGTAGAGGACGTCAAAGAGGGAGAAAGGCGGCTCCGCAGGGTCGGGGTCCAGAGTGGGGTGCAGGGATTCTTCCGGGATGGGCTCCCAAAAATCCAAAGAGTGGTTATTGGGAGAGGCGTTGGGCAAACATTTGTTCCAGAAGGTATGAAGGAAAGTCAAGTGTTTCCGGATGAATTGGTCCATCCCTTTTTATATGGAGAGGGGGAGAAAGAGAAAGTTGATCAAAGAGGATTGAGCTGCGTTATTCCATAGGGCTTCTTGAAGAAAGGATGAAAAATGGTAGAGTCTTCATTGCCAGGTTCCTCATCAGTATAATATCCAAGTGCTGGTGTCTTCTCCAAAGCAACAAAGTGGAATGAGATGCTACTCAAGAGTCCCAGAATCTGTGCTGCTAGTTGACTACTGGCAACTCCCAAGTTTCCAAAAGTGAGACTGGACGATCAGGTGCAACTAGTTTGCTGCAGGCTAAACTCACAAGTACAGGCCTGCCAACATATCCGCCACAGCTGGGGTTGGCTTAATTACCAGATTTGTTCGTGTTCGGAGCTGCGCCCAAATTAGCACTCATTTCCACTCTGTTGCTTGCAGCGTGTGTGAATTCACTACGCTTTGGAAGGGTGCCAGTTGCCTCATTTGCAGTCCACTTAAAATGCATGCTAAAAACAGAATCTGGGAGCCAACGATTGGATTCTGTTTAAAAGAATTCCCATGTCCAATAAACTGAGAAATTGGATATGACCAGATTGTGGAAATTACCTTGTTTTAGAAAAAAATATTCAGAAATAAACAAAGAAAGTACAAATAAAAAAAATCAGAAACAATACAAGAAAAACAGTTTTCCATGACATATGCAATTAAATTGCAACTAACACAACTATGTCTAAGACAATCACCCTAACACAAAACAAATCTATACTAATAAACTCATCCTAGACACACAACTGGGGTTGTGGGGGTACAGCAGGTTAAACCACTGAGTTGCTGATCTGGGTGGCCAGAAGTTCGGTGGTCCGAATACTCCAAAGCTTATGATGCTGTGCTAACACATTAAAACATATACATTATGTATTGTGGGGAGCCTGCGGTGGCGCAGTGGGTTAAAGCACTGAGCTGCTGAGCTTGTTGATCGAAAGGTCGCAGGTTCGATTCCGGGGAGTGGCGTGAGCTTCCGCTGTTAGCCCTAGCTTCTCCCAACCTAGCAGTTTGAAAACATGCAAATGTCTGTAGATCAATAGGTACCGCTCCGGCGGGAAGGTAACGGCGCTCCATGCAGTTATGCAGGCCACATGACCTTGGAGGTGTCTACGGACAATGCTGGCTCTTCGGCTTAGAAATGGAGATGAGCACCACACCCCAGAGTCAGACATGACTGGACTTAATGTCAGGGGACTACTTTTACCTTTACCTTTATGTATTGTGGAGACTGATATTTTTGTGCTTAGATCAGGCATGGGCAAACTTTGGCTCTCCAAGTGTTTTGGACTTCAACACCCACAATTCCTAACAGCCTCGGGCCCCTTCTTTTCCCTCCTCAGCCACTTAAGCTGGTGGCGCAATGGGTTAAACCCTTGTGCCAGTAGGACTGAAGGCCAGCAAGTTGGAGGTTCGAATCCAGGGAGAGTGTTGAGGAGCTCCCTCTGTCAGCTCCAGCTCCCCATGCGGGGACATGAGAGAAGTCTCCCACAAGGATGGTAAAGGTTGTCCCTTGACATTAAGTCCAGTCATGTCTGACTCTGGGGTGTGGTGCTCATCTCCATTTCTAAGCCGAAGAGCCAGCGTTGTCTGTAGACACCTCCAAGGTCATGTGGCCGGCATGACTGCATGGAGCGCCGTTACCTTCCCGCCGGAGCGGTACCTATTGATCTACTCACATTTGCATGTTTTCGAACTGCTAGGTCAACAGAAGCTAGGGCTGACAGCGGAAGCTCACGCCGCTCCCCGGAATCGAACCTGCGACCTTTCGATCAACAAGCTCAGCAGCTCAGTGCTTTAACCCACTGCGCCACCGGGGGCTCCAAGGATGGTAAAACATCAAACAATTCAGGCATCCCCTGGGCAACATCCTTGCAGATGGCCAATTTTCTCACACCAGAAGCAACTTGCAGTTTCTGAAGTCACTCCTGACACACACACACAAATGAGCAAGTAGTTCTCTTACCTGATTTTGTGGCTAAGAGTAATGGAGTGTTTGCAGTGTCTGACTTTTATAAACTGTAAAGATATTATTCTTGGATGCAGAGAAGCGGTTCAAGAAATATACAAGCTTCCCCCGCAATCGGACGCTTTACTTTCTGACACCTTGCTCTTTTAACGCTTGGAAATTACAGGCAAGTTCCATTAATTTGATGAGAGTTCTGCTCATTTATCAGTTCCTATTGCTTGTGAGGCTCGCTTGCACACACAATAAAATATACTGTACTATGTTATTTTCAGCCACCCAATTAGATTTGCAAATTAAAAATACCTGAGTTTCACTTTTCAAGCAGTTTCACTCTGATCTGTCTGATAAGTTGGAACTTTCTTCATTGAAACATGTATGTAGAAATTGCCATTCTGGTCTTTCAAATGTACATTAGTGGATTTTAGTGGCTTATTCCTACCTGTACTGTTATAAAAAGTTCCATGACAGTACCATTTTATGTATGTTTTACTCAGAAATCTATCATATTGTTTTATTGATATTTTCTCCCCATGAAGTGTGAAGAAGAATTGCAAGCTAGTAGAACAATCTTCTTAACCTTAATCTAACAGAGCTTGAGTCTCAGGACATCTAAATGCTTCCATGTCCTGCCACATCTATGCTGTTAGAGTGAGAGTAAAATGGCATTTCCTTTCTTCCTCCCACCACATTTTTGTTTTAAATGAACCGATTTCTATTAAGCTTCAAAGCTGATGTAGATTGAGATATGCATACATGCTCTTCCAACCTGTTCATTAGAGTTGTGCATGGAACCATTTTCCTTTGTTTCATCTGTTCTTTTGTTATGTTCGTTATCTTTGGGAGCATGTAACGGGAAGGCCCCTCCCAGTACGAAAATCAGCTCGACACAAAAGCAAACGGGAGTTGATCCCAACTCCTTGCCTGCTTTTATGAGCACGTGGCACTCCATTCCTCGTCTTGGAAAGAGAATGCATGTATGGGGGGCGCAGGCCCAGAAAGCATGTGCACTAGCCTGCAGCCAAGCACCTCCTCTAGAGTAAGAATGAGAACTTTGCTGTTGCTTCCTTACCTTGGAAAGGGAGTGAATGTGTATGTGCCATGCAGGCCCAGAAAGTGTGTGCACCTGCCTGCAACCAAGTACCTCCTCTAGAGCAAGAATGAGAACTTGCCTTCTTGCCTTTGAAAGAGAGTGTGTGAATGTGTGGCATGCAGGCGCCGAAAGCGCCCATGCCTGCCTGCAGCTGAGTGCCTCTCCTGTAGAGTAGAATCAGGTAAGAAGTCTCCTTAAAGCATGCACCTGCTGCAGTTGAGCACCTCTCCTCTAGAGTAAAAAAGCTTCAATGCCTAAAATGATTGGAAAGGGATCCTGGGAAGCCCCCTCCACCAATAATGGGGCGATAGAAAATGTATCTTTCAGCATCCCAGAGTGAAGACAGGTATCTGCCCTCCTGATTTTGGGAAGCTCCTAAAAACAGATGGGGGACCCCACTGAAAGGTCAAGGTTTATCCTGAAAGCACAACCCTACTGTACAGTGCTCTTCCAACATGTTCTGCTCTCTCCAATGGTGGGCTGCAAGTCCATGTTAGGTATTACATTATCTGACATACGTTAAAGTAAAGATGGTGTGCAATGCTCATATTGGAGCAGAGGCATAGCTTTGTCTATTGTAGAAACAGAACGAGCAATATGCCAACCTCACAATGATTCCAGCAGCCCTGATGAGTGTCCATATGGGCAGATATGACATGTGGGTCTTCAGCACACGTTGTACAATGAGTTCCCACATTGCATAATAGGACATCTTGCTCTGTCATGTGTTACTAAAGTTCACTAACATGATTGAATATCATGTCACATATAGCCCCAGATTCAAAATCTCAACCCTTATCTACAGTATCACCCATGGTAATAGAAATATTTGGTATTTTTATTAAGACAGCATGGTATAGTGGATTGAGGGTTGGACTATGACTCTGAAGACCAATGTTTGAATCAGTAGGAATTTACTTGATGACTCTGGGCAAGTCATATTCTCTAAGCCTTCGAGGAAGGCAAATCTTGCAAAAGAAATCCCCACAATAGGATCTTCATAAGTTGGAAATGACTTGAAGACACACTACAATATTAAATAGAGCACAATGAATTGTCGAAGGCTTTCATGGCCGGAATCACTGAGTTGTTGTAGGTTTTTTGGGCATGTTCTAGAAGCATTCTCTCCTGACGTTTCGCCTGCATCTATGGCAGGCATCCTCAGAGGTTGTGAGGTCTCCAAACTGCCTGAAAAACCTACAACAACCACAGCACAATGAGTTTGGTGCAATTTGAGCTTCTGTTAGAAACAGGAGAAATGATTCTGTGTGCTCCTCCCTCAAACTTCTTCACTTTTTTTTTGGCCCTTCCACCGGCTAAGCTCAGTCACCAGAACAGTTGTGTCAGCAAAATCCTTGTCTAGCTGAAATCTAAGCTCACCCAGGAGAATGGGGTTATGCTGGCAGAAGAGTAGAAGAGGTGTCTGCTGATTCTTAACCTCCAATTGACACTTCTTTAAGTAATCCATCACTTCATTGCAATTTTTGCTAGTAAAAGAATCATGGAAGAACAGAGATTGATATGGCTCACACAGGCATGAAACAAGATGATCAATTGATGTGCTGCGGATTCTGGCGCTAAATTCTTTGTAAGACAACTGTAGCTATTGCAAGGCGTTATTAAACTCAAGGATTTGCAGATGCACCAAAGATACAGACACATCACATGATTTAAAAAATGTTTTATTTCTAACAATGTTGAAACTAAGATTTTTTTTGTCAGCTGCCAGCACCTTTCCCTCCCTCTACTCATATGGTATTGAAACACAATTTCTGACAGAAATGACGTCAATGACGTGCTGAAGTTACATTACAGGCTCTTGAGTTTAAACTTTGTCATGAGCAAAACCCTATACTAAACAAAAATCCCAATGTGCGTAACAACAAATAATTATGTGCAAACTGAGTAGAACAAGGTGGGGATTGTGAATCCCTTAGCATTTGTGGAACTCCCATTAGCACTCCCCCTTTTTTGGTCCTTTTCATATATCCTCTCTAGCTCTGTATTGGCAAAGTGTATTGGAAGAGATGTCTCCCTTTTTCTTTCTTCTTATTTAATCTGCAGTGGCTTTGCATCAGTTCTTGTACACGAATTTGTATTCAGAAGTAGGCCCTGTTTCACAGTGCTCCTCTGCAAAGTGAATTAACACCTTCCTTCCTTTTCAGTTTTAGGACCTGTTGTTTCTTCCTTTTTGGCAAGGCAGAAGTGTAACTGATAAACATCCTCATCTACTCATTAATTAAGTGCTATATTGTACGAAGGGGAGCTTTAATTAACGTGTTCTCTCTCCTTTTTAATTGCAAAATCATGTTACTGTGCTCAGTGTAGAACAGGAAGCTATTAATTATAAACACAGGGGCTCCTAAGCCTCAGTAACATCATGCTGGGTCATGTTTTTCAGTCTGTACTGCTATTTACGTTATTCTCCCTGTCTCCAAATATAATCTCACCACAAATCAAGTCTGAAGAAAAACAGGACAGCAAGGATGGGAATGCCATGGGTTTGCTACAATATGGCCTATATTCTCCATAAAAAGTGGAATTTCCACTACTGGCTAGTTTGCAAGCAACTGAAGAATCAATGTATTGTCAAAGGCTTTCATGGCCAGAATCACTGGGTTGTTGTAGGTTTTTTCGGGCTATATTGCCATGGTCTAGAGGCATTCTTTCCTGATGTTTTGCCTGCATCTATGGCAAGCATCCTCAGAGGTAGTGAGGTCTGTTGGAACTAGCAAAATGGATTTATATATCTGCGGAATGACCAGGGTGGGACAAAGGACTCTTGTCCGCTGGAGCTAGGTGTGAATGTTTCAACTGACCTTCTTGATTAGAATATAATGACCTGACAGTGCCTGGAGCAAACTTTTGTTGAGAGGTGATTAGATGTACTCTCTGTTGTTGTGCTGTTGTAATTTTAGAGGTTTTTAATACTTGTAGCCACGTTTTGTTCATTTTCATGGTTTCCTCCTTTCTGTTGAAATTGTCCACATGTGAATGTTGAAACATTCACACCTAGCTCCAGCAGACAAGAGTCCTTTGTCCCACCCTGGTCATTCCATGGATATATAAACCCTTTTTCCTAGTTCCAACAGACCTCACTACCTCTGAGGATGCTTGCCATAGATGCAGGTGAAACGTCAGGAGAGAATGCCTTTAGACCATGGCCATATAGCCCCAAAAAACCTACAACAACTGAAGAATCAGTCAGCAACATTGCCAAAAATTGGCAAAATGCCCATTTTATCCATAAGTAGAGCCGAGTCTTGTACATTAACAAAAGAAGAACCATCTTCCTCTTCCATTACAAGAAAAGGTCCATGGTGAGTAGGAAAGAAAAAAATGGATAATTAGCAAATGTAAGAAAATTAGCACCTACTTTTCAAATTCCCTTATATCAAGAATCAAATGCCATGGCACACAAGAATTACCTGGATCATAATAAATTGGCATGAGATACAGTATAGCACCATTATCCCTAATTTCTTTTAAAAGCACCTCAAAATAAAAAGAGCACCATAAATGACACCCAAATAGTAGGGGTAGATGTAAGAAATACAGCGAATTGCCAAATAAAGACTGACAGAACTAACTCTGGGTCAAGGACAACAAAGCATGGCTTGCCTTTGAAGTAATATCTGTGCTAGAAACAATAACCAGTTGTCATTGTTATGGGCTTCCCCGCAACTTTCATAAAAACTAATTTTGAGAACCACAGCTCCTTGCAGAACTATCGTTCTCAGGCTTCCTTTTTGCAAACCACTACAACTTCAGGACTTCAGTCCATTTCTGTAAGTCACATTAGATGTATTGCTAGAGGAGCTTACCATCCTTGCAGTTTGGCTACGACTGCAATATGGAAGAAGCCAACCTTCTCAAATGGGAGAAAGGAAATCCTTGTCTCTAAATGCTTTCTCCTTTGGCCTTCTAATCAGTTTGCATGCAAGTAGGCCAAAGCAAAGAGTAAAGAGTAAATAGTAAAGAGTAGAGACATCACACTGGCAACAAAGATCCGCATAGTCAAAGCCATGGTATTCCCTGTAGTCACCTACAGATGTGAGAGCTGGACCTTAGGGAAGGCTGAGTGAAGGAAGATCGATGCTTTTGAACTGTGGTGTTGGAGGAAAGTGCTGAGGGTGCCTTGGACTGCGAGAAGATCCAACCAGTCCATCCTCCAGGAAATAAAGCCCGACTGCTCACTGGAGGGAAGGATACTAGAGACAAAGTTGAAGTACTTTGGCCACATCATGAGGAGACAGGAAAGCCTAGAGAAGACAATGATGCTGGGGAAAGTGGAAGGTAAAAGGAAGAGGGGCTGACCAAGGGCAAGATGGATGGATGGCATCCTTGAAGTGACTGGACTGACCTTGAAGGAGCTGGGGGTGGTGACGGCCGACAGGGAGCTCTGGCGTGGGCTGATCCATGAGGTAACGAAGAGTCGGAGACGACTGAACAAATGAACAACAAAGGCCAAAGCAAGGGAAACTAGTTGGACCTAGACTGGAGAACAAATACATTGGTCCAAACTTGATTTGGGTCTCCAAGAACAGCCTATGGAGGTGCTCCTTAACAGGAACATTGCTCATTATCCAGTGGTCCATTGCAAGGTATATTGTTTTCCATGTGTTGTGTTCTTAAAAGCTGCCTGGAATCATAGCGGTAGAAAATATCCACTGTGGAAAGAACAGAAGCAACTGGGAAAACACAGCTTCAAGGAGAAGGCAAGGTCACTGTCAGCTCAAGGTAGCAACAAGTGGGTCCACCCAGCCAGGTGTTTGTTTCAAGTTTCCTGTAGCTTCAGAATGATGACTGGTGAAGCGCAGTGGCCTAAGGGAAAATACAGTCAATCTTCATTTCTGGCTTTGTTTTTCAAGACAGGCATTTGCACACTAGGTATGGCAGGCGCGGGTTCCAACAGATGTGTCCTCCTCCTTATATGCCACAGTCAAAGGCACTTGGCCTGCAGACTTGTAAATGCCTACCAAAGTTTCACTTGAGTCAAATTTCTGCTGATTTGGGAGTTTGCTGAGATGTAGCTGGTTTTGCTTGGACCTCAGGTGGGTGTTTGACTTTCAGAGATGATGGTACAGTTCAACAGGGTGTGCTGAGTTGCCAAGTTTGCTCGCAAAGAGATAAGATAATGAAGAAGGAAGCCTTCTAGAAGTACAACAGGGTTATTCTGAAGTAGAGGTGACTGTTCTGAAACCAGTGCTGTGGGTAGACAGGCTCCTTTTTCAAGGAAAATCATGGATGGGAAGAAAAATCACTATGCAAAGCAGGACAATGTAGTGTGCAGAGTAAACCATTTGTAGGAGATGCCAGAAGTCTGTGACATGTGTGTCGTGTTACTCCAGCACCTGGAGGGTTTGTAGTGCAGTGGCCTTCAGAGACATACCCAGGATTCAGTGGAGTCTGGATTATAATGTTTGATGCTTCTGGCTTCCCTTGGAGTAAAACAGGCTTTGCTTGGTAGGAAACATCAACTGCAACCTGCTGGCGATTGCCTGAAATAGCTTGATGAGAATGAAACAGAGAACAGGCACATTATAAAATGAAGAAAGAGCTTCTCAGACCAGACCAGTTTGTGCAGAATTGTCTAGCAAGGTCCCAATTATAGCCATCATGGAGAAAATTAATAAAACTGGGCATAGGGTAGCTGTTACAAAGCCCATAACAAAAAAAAGCCACAGAAGAAAAAGCAAAGGTCATGCTGGAAGCCTAAATTCCAGTCCTACCTGTCTCTAGGTTTCAGTCAAATTTATGGAGTAGGGAAGGAAAGTCCAGTGTATTAAATTAGGTTATATGCCTTCAGCTCAAGTCTGGCTTGTGGCTGACCTTATTGTAGGATTTTTTTGTGCAAGATTTATTCAGAGTAGGTTTGCAATTGCCTTCCTCTGGTGCTGAGATTGTGTGGTTTGCCCAAGGTTACCCAGTGGGCTTCCTTAACTGAGTGAGGATTTGAACTCTGGTCTCCCAGGCTCCTTTCTGCAACACTCAGAATACTACAACTCATAGCTCCTTACACACTACAAATTACAAGCCTTGAACTGCTTCATGCTGCATGTTAGGCACAAAACTTCAAGCCAGGTCTCAAAATACAAACCAAGCACCCCACCATAAATGTTGTTGTTGTGGGCCTTCAAGTTGACTCTGACTTGTCCTAGGATTTACTTGGCAAGGTTTATTTAATGGAAGTGTGCCATTGCCTTCTATTACAGGTGAAAGAACATGATTTGCCAAAGGTCACCTGATAGATTTCCATAAGTAAGCAGAGATTTAAACTCTGTCCTTCCTGAATCTAACTCCAGTATCAAACCACAACACCACACTGGTTCATTCATTGATAAACTGATTTGATTTGTTTCTGGGTCACTGTTGCCCATACTTGACATAGGTGTGTTTACTGTATTATATAGTTGTGCCTCATCCCCTCAACATTTTGACACCAGATACCATTCCTGCCAGTGTTTCTCTCCAATGCACCTAAATAATTCCTCTCTCTTTCTAAAAATATAAAAATATGCTGAAGGTATAATTTAATACACTGGACTTTCCTTCCCTACTCCATAAATTTGACTGAAACCTAGAGACAGTGAAATGCTAATAACAGGGTGACTTGGAGGTCTCTCATTCACCAGGTCACCATAAGCAGAAGTTTACTTGCCAACAATTAACACCTGGGAATGACTTTGAATGTACAGTCTGCTATAAGGAATGCTCCAAAACCATGCACAATCTTTGAGTGCGGATTGTCCCCCATACCATGCAGAATGGGTCATCTTTTGCTCCACTTTGCTCCATTCTTCTGTTGTTCACCATATTTGGCTGCAGTCCTTCTCTGTTGCTTTCTCATTTCTCTTTCCAAGCCACTCACCTGGCAGCAAAGGGAACAAGAGGGTCATTTGTGGATGGACTTCATCTGAGAACAGGATACAACTGAGGCACATTGATGAATACCAGCAAATTTAATTTAGAAAAAGGAACTGGCATCTTATTAGGATCAGGTTCAACTTACACTTGTAGAATCTTAAGAGGTGGAAAGGACCCCAGGGCCATCTAGTTCAACCTCCTCATGAAAGAGTACAAAACTAAAGCACTTCTGAAAGAGAGCCATCCAACTACAGTTTTAGAAGCTCCAAAGATGGAGAACCCAGCATCCAACTTCCACCTGCACAAGTCATTTTTAGTTGATTAGAGGGTAAGCTTATCTACCAGCCTCATGAAATCATGATCAACAGTCCCTACTTTTCATCTGCTGCAGCCCTGTCATGGTCACTTACTAGCTAGTGGACAGTAGGGGCAAAGGAAAAGTATCTAGCCATTCTCCAACAGGTTGAATCACAGCAATGATGTCTTCCTCCAAGACCTGTGGAAGAACCCTGTGAGATATTGGAGGATGTATGTTCAATAATAGGAATCTAGCCAGATGCTTCTCTGTTGCTCCCCATTCTTCACAGACCAGTTGATAGCCATGTTGGGGGTCCTGCAGATGGTGCAAAGTGGGTTGGGGTGAAAATTGCAGTGCAGTCCCATCTGGTTGATGTTTCCCTGATGTTAGCTTTCAGCCAGAGACTTACAAAGCTTCTGTTTCTGAGCCAAAGTACATGCATCAGTGAGAATGGGATGAAAATGTTTACAACAGAAGGAACTTGTTGGAGAGAACTGCTGAATCTTCCCAATTATTGCCTCATAGTCATGGACACTGCGCACTGCATGGCAGTGATTTTGGTGTCCAGTGGTGTCCCTTTTTGTCCAAGCATTAAATGATCCATCCATAGTTCCTGAGTCTCTTCTTTTGTTACTTTGGATAGCCCATTTATATCCTTATAAATCCTGAAGTGGGTGCCCCATCCCACTTCTCTCAAGATCTACCAACTTCTACAGCACAGATTTCACTTTTAATAGTAATAAAGTATAGATTAGATCTAGACTCAGGGCAGGAAGGTCTTGCAAACCTGGGCTTAGAGAATGCTATACTATGATCTCAGATCCCTCCCTCCCAGACAGAAAATCTACCTGCTTCCGAAGAGAAGAGATGGTTTTTCCTAGTTCCTTCACCAAATCCTCAACATCCTCTTCTGGGGGGTGGTTCTGAGATACTCCCTCCATTCTGAAATAAAAAAAAAGGAATCATTTGAGCAGTCTTTTGAACATGAGGTCTCTCTGCTGGAAACAAGACCAAGGAGTGCAGTCGCCATGGAGAAATATGGATTGCATTTGAAGTTCAAACATTCATCACAAGATGATCCAAATATCCTTCCCCCCCAGAGAATGTAGCAATGTATTACTTGCTTTGTTGGGTGGCCCAAAACACATCCAAAATAAAAAAAATAAAGCGTAAATATTTACCTACTTTGCAAATGATCTACATGCAGTTTTACCGATGTAGAGCTAGTAAAGTAAATGAAACCCTTGCTATTTTCATTTTCATGTGTGAGAATAAGAAACCCACAAAGTTTTCTTGTTCTCACCTATGAGATGGATGGGCACTTTCTTTCAAGGCTGGGCATTTTATTTCAGTGTTGATGAGTTTTTGGATTTGCAGGAAGAATTTCTGCACAAATCATTAAAAAAAACTTCTATAGCTGCTTATCGCATGGACTTTTACAAATTGGAAGCACTGGGTGGAGCTGTTTGCATCGTCTCTATCAACCAGGCAGCTTCTTGTTTGCACTCCTTTGGTGATTGTGTACCTTGCATCACAAAGGATTGATGGGTTTGCACAAAAACTTTCCAGAAATGTATGTACCATAAAGGGGGGGGGGGGAACCACACTCCTCATCCCATTCTCATTCTGGTGAAGAGGATGCCCATGTGAATAGCCATTTCTTCTAATCAAAAATGGAGTCCCTTTCACACCAAACAATTACAGGACATTGATATTACTTCGAATGCCATGGCAGCACCCTATGGAAGACTGGGATTGCAATATGCTGAGAATCCTCTATCAGAGTTTTCTAGGTAAAGGTAAAGGTTTTCCCCTGACATTAAGTCCAGTCATATCTACATCCCCTATGTCCCACCTTGTAATCTAAGATCATCCGCGGAGGCCCTGCTCTCGCTCCCGTCAACAGCACAGATAAGCCTGGATGGGATGAGAGACAGGGCCTTCTCCGCTGTGGCCCCCCGCCTATGGAATACACTCCCAAATGAGGTAAGATCCGTTCCCTCCCTCCTGGCTTTTAGAAAAAAATTAAAATCATGGTTTTGGGACCAGGCCTTCGGGCAGTAGAAGTAAATGTATGCAGCATTTCAGAAAGACAATGACTGGAACGGTGATTCGACGGACGAGACTGTTTTATGGTTTTAATGTTTTTTTATTGCTTATGGATGGATTGTTTTAATTTGATTTATGTCTAATTGTAGTGTATAATTGTAATTGTTTGTACTGGCATTGAATTTTGCAATTACATATATGTAAACCGCTTTGAGTCCCCGTTAGGGTGAGAAAAGCGGTATACAAATACTGTAAATAAATAAATAATAAATATCTTACTTTGGGGGTTGGTGCTCATCTCAATTTTTAAGCCGAAGAGCCGGTGTTGTCCGTAGACACCTCCAAGGTCATGTGGGCAGCATGACTGCATGGAGCACCGTTACCTTATGGCCAGAGCGGTACCTATTGATCTATTCACATTTGCATGTTTTTGAACTGCTAGATTGGCAGAAGCTGGGGCTAACAGCGGGAGCTCAGGCTGCTCCCCAGATTTGAACCTGCGAACTTTCGGTCTGCAAGTACAGCAGCTCAGCTCTTAACCCACTGCACAACCAGGGGCAGAGGTTTCTAGTTCTCCACAAACTACACATTTGGAGATTCCACTGAATGGAGTTCTAGAATTTAGATTGAGAAGAAAATGTGAAAGAATTGAGAGATTTTGAAAATATGCTTTACATCTCTAGTGTAACTACACTTTTTATGCAGTGAAAAGAAAAGGGGCTTGATTAGGAGATGGTACCTTGGACCAACAGGCTTGGTGTTGGAAGGGTTTTCTTCTGGATAGCTGAATCCGGACGATCGCTTGCTTCGGAAATGCTGCGAGAGAGCCCTGAATTGCCCCCTTGTCCTGCAGTCTGGGAAGCAGGGAGAAGAAAGCATAGTTTGGGGAGAATGGTGGAATCTCAGAATCTCTCAAGTATATCTTCTAATGGTTATCATATTAGCTCTCCATTTGGCTACAAAATCCCAGGATCCCATAAAATGGACCTATTACAGTTAAAGTGGGATAGAACTGATGTAATTGTGCAGCAGTTCTATGCAGTACATTGTGCTCCATGGCTTTCATGTAGAAAAATAAATTTACTGTTTTCTGAGTGACTTGGTCTTTGAATGGAGTTGACCTTTCATCACATCTAAAGGTCAAGTATGCCTTATCCAAAATGCTTGGGACAAGAAGTGGTTTTCGTATTTTTCTCCTGGGTTTTGGAATACCTGTATTAGTATATACATCTTCTTGGCAGGGGGTTGGACTGGATGGCCCATGAGGTCTCTTCCAACTCTTTGATTCTATGATTCTATGATTCTATGTGCAGCAAATAGATATCTTGGATTGATGTTTCATATACTTGTTATATTCATATCCCAAAGATCATTTTATACACAATATTTTAATCATTTTGTGCACGAAACAAAACTTGACAATTGAACTATTAAAAAGCAAAAGAGTTACTATCTCTGATTCCCATGCAAACAATTTTGGATTTTGGAGTATTATTGATTTTGGAATTCTGGATAAAGAGTGCTCAGTATTTAAAAGCCAATGGAATTTTGCTACATTATAAAAAGCCACATCAGGACTGGGGTATTGGGGAGTTATGATTTTAGGAACAAATTGTTTTAGTAACTACGGGCTTGTTGGAAGGGTTTTCTTCTGGATAGCTGAATCCGGATGATCGCTTGCTTCGGAAATGCTGCGAGAGAGCCCTGAACTAGGGACTATTTATTTATTTATTTATTTATTTACACAATTTACACACTGGGAGGGGTCAAAGCACTGGAAGGGGGGACGACAGGGGGGTGGGACAGGCACATTACAAGTCTAGTAGCATTTCAGCTGTAACAGGTTGCTCGAGTTTGTTGATCCATATAGACTCATTACAGAATCAGAGTAGGATTAGACCACAAGAGCCATCTAGTCCAACCCCTTTCTTTCATGCACCATCAAAGCAGATGGCCATCCAGTTTCTGTTTTTTAAAAAACTCCAGAGCAAGAGTCTCCATCACACTCCATGCCAGCATATCCTATGGTTGAACAGCTCATACCATTTAGGCTTGTACTGCTAACACATTGGCAGCAGCTCTTCAGAGGTTGAAGTAAGGGTCCCAGATCTGTCTAGAAATGCAGGGAATTTGCTTTAAAAACTTGTTCCCTAACACTGCACTACAGCTTGGCATCCTCATCACTACTATTACCTTCACAGCAGTCCTGCCACATGCGTAGATCCACTTCTGGTATATCATCACAGCTCACCATGCCCTGTGGATAGGAGGCAACCCGGAACACATCCTTTGGAAGCTGCTGGATGTGGTCGCTGTTGTCACAGATTATGCGGGCCACGGATGTCTGCCTTATCTGAGTAAGTTGTGCTGGGGTGAACATGCCTGGATTCTCATACCAAAACCTGAAATATGCAAGCAAGCACATGAGTAACTGGCCAATTAGCTGCAAAGAAGAGAGGAAAGGCCTCTGAGATTGCCCAATAGTCGACACTTGCTTGACAGTGTGTAAGACATGAAAAAAATATATAATCTTCAGCCAATAAAACAAGGACTTAAGACACTATGCATTAAAGCCAAGAGAAAACCAGAAGCAAAGGAGAAAAAGAAACACCATAGCATATGAACTCAAAAGGAAAAGCAAGAGCAGAAAGGTCTAAAAGAACCCAAAGCAGGTTATAAAATGCCTTTAAGAATAAACAAAATCTTAATAAGATATTACAGTGAACAATGGAAGAAACTCTAGAGATGGGGTGACCATACTGAGAAGCTTTCGTTTCAGCTTTAATACTTTAGGTTTTGGATACAGGACAATATGCCTCAAAATACTGTGTTTTAGCACTGCAAATGACCCCTGTGTACCCATGAAAGAAAAGGTCCCCAGGAACCACAGGGAGATCTTCCATGTCTTCTCAGACCTTCCCAACTTTCCACAGATAAAAACTTGGATACACATGGTCAAGGAACATCAGTCAAGATAATGAAAGGAAGTTAGGAGGAACAACAGCTTTTTGCTTTGGCCTGAGCCTACTGACAAGGGCTCCACTTTGCCCACTGCTCTCCCTGTTGCTGAATGAATAAAGTGCAAACTACTTTTGCACTTTGAATTCAGTTTGTAGCAACCAAAGTAGCAACCTAGGAAAAGTGAGAAGAGAAGAAAAACACTGAACCTTTTAAAAGAAACTGATAAAATGGCATGACAAAGATGGATCAAATTGTCCTTGCCCAATAGGGATGCATTGGAGGGTACATCATCCTGACCTAAGGAATGCCCTTTTTGGATGGAAACAAGAGAGAGCTTTGGTTATGTGAGCCAAAATCCTGGGTTACCTGTCTCCATCTCGGAGTCTTCTAAACTGGGTTACTAGCAAACACATGAGAGTTGGCCCAACTCTGGTCCCAGGAACAAGATCTTCCACCATAAGTGCAGGAAACAGGTCAATGTTTTTTGTAATCCCGTATAAGCTGCAAGGGAAAGGAAAACGAGATCAGATAGTGGAGTGGGATGGATTTACTGTGTTTCATTGTGGTTTTAACTCTGTAAGGGGTAGTGATTCTATAGTGATGCCTGATGGTTTTGAGAATTCAGAAGCTCCAGTGTGCAAGAGTCTTTACAGCTGTGCCAGAGTTGAAATAATAGATTCAATTTAATGCAAGAAGTAACACTCCATTCAAATTGGAGGGTTTAACAATCTCTTCCTCAAATCCCATCATGCATTTTGCTCCTAATGTAAATCCCCTAAATGTTATAGAATTGTTAAATACCATTCTTCCATTGTCCTGAAAATCTACAAGTCTACTTTCACTTCCTGATTTAACTTCCTAATAAAACCTGATTAAAGTCAAACAATAATTTATTTGCAGGGATTGATAATTACTTTGTGAAAGAGATGGGGAATTAAGTCTTCCACAAGTTTGAGAGACCGGTTTCTAGAAGTTGGGGACATCAAGTTCCAGAAGTTTTAGTCAATATGGATGATGATGATGATGATTATTATTATTATTATTTAATATTTATTTATACCCCGATCTGTTTCCTCCAAAAGGGACTTAAAGTGGCTTAACATTAAAAAATGGTAAGGGATTATGGGAGGTGTTGCCCAAAAGGGCCCAACACTTTATATGTACTCCATTTAAGGGAAGATGGGAATAAAAATACAGAAAGTCCCCCTCTTGATTTAAATTAGACAAATGGTGTGACTGCACAGAGTTCCTATAAACTCCTCCACCAGCATTACTGCTCTGATTAGAATTTGTGGTCTTCCACAAATGATTTTAAAATGTTTCCCATTTTGGCACTTTCAGTAAGAAAAAAGCAAACATTTAGAGTGTAGATTTTAAGATGGGCATTCAAAGTAATCCCCAAAGCACTTAGTGTACTTAAATGTGGTGGTCCCTCTAGTAGAAGATATCATTTTGTCATAGCACATGGTAACAGAAGTAAATAGGTTCATAAAGGTGTGTGTGGGGGGCTACTATTTTGGAGGGATAGTGGCTTAAATCCAGATGTTTGAGATATTAAACAACGCTCGGCAGCCAGACTACTAACGGGTGCTGGGTACAGGGAGCACACCACTCCGCTGTTACACCAGCTCCACTGGCTGCCAATTAGCTTCCGAGCACAATTCAAAGTGCTGGTGCTAACCTATAAAGCCCTAAACGACTCTGGCCCTGTTTACCTCTCCGAACGTATTCTCCCCTATGAACCATCAAGATTATTAAGATCATCTGGAGAGTCCCTGCTCTCCGTCCCACCGGCCTCGCAAGCGCGTCTGGCGGGGACGAGGGACAGGGCCTTCTCGGTGGTGGCCCCTCGACTCTGGAACTCTCTCCCACTGGAGATCAGAACTGCCCCTTCTATCCTGACATTTAGGAAACAGGTGAAGACTTGGTTATGGAGACAGGCATTCTACGAGTGAGCCAACACCCTGAGATATGGATGGAGGATGATGAGCAACGATTTTAGTGTGACGACTGACCATTATAGCTATTGATTGTAATTGCTGTTTTAATGTTTTACTGTAATATGTATTATGATGTTTTAATGTTTTACTGTAATATGTATTATGATGTTTTATTGATTGTATGTGATATTATGGTTGGAAACCGGTCTGAGTCCCTCAAGAGAGGTGAGAAGGTCGGTATACAAAACTTTTAAATAAATAATAATAAATAAATATTATCAAAGATGCTAAGTCTACTTTGGAAACAGAGCTTGGAATCTAAAATCAGAAGCAGATCCACCACTCCAATGGCATGAAAATCTCCTGCTCTTACAGGGCTCATGTACTGAGGTTTTCCCCAACTTATAGTTTTACCTACCTTCCCATTTCTAGCCCCAGAGCCCTACCACAAATCAGGATGTCTAGATCTAGATTGCTACACAAGAGCCATTTGCAGAAAGCGGGAAGGTTACAACTATTTTTCCCTTCTAGGCACCTTTTGGCAAGGCTTGCCTACCTCCTGAGCTTTTCCCTGATCTCCAGGTTCTTAATCTCATTCTTGAGGTCATCGAACTCCTGCGCAGACGTGAGGTTGCAGAAGACTCGGAAATCGTTGTAAGGTGGGATGCCGTGATCACGCCCCCGCTGGATGTTGATGGCTGCCAAGTCCAGTGAGACAGAGTGGGCCATGGAGAAGAGCTTCTCTGTCAGCTCCATGTTCAAGAGTTCAGACGGAACCCGCATTTTCCCAGGGACCCCAAAGAGCCCCCGGAGAAGAGGATCAATGCCCCCCTCTTGGATGATCCTGAAAGGTGAGAAGAAGGCTTTATGGAGTGGGACATGGCCTTGTCGGATGGGCTGGAATGTTTCATTGAGCCGGTAGAGAAGAGGATTGATGAGGGTGTGGCCAAAACGGAAAGCGGCAGTAGCAAAGGCATTCAGGATGCCCGGGTTGGTGTTGGGCTCATAGCCTCTATACTCTCCTAAGATCTTCATGCCAGCTTCCCCAAGTATCTTGGGTAGCCAATGGGAGTAGGTGATGTGCTGTATCTGGGCCCCCACAAATTTGCGTGCCTCGTGGTAGATGGTGTCCCCATCCCAGTGTGGATTCAGAGCCAGGAGCTTTCTGGCCACACGGTTGTGCTCACGAAACCATAGCGTGTGCATGGAGGTCAGGGCCAGCTGCTCGTTGGCCCGATGGTCACCTGCCAAGAAACATGGCACAGGGCTCTCACTCTCATCCCTCATGCATTCAGTTGGGGGGCCTACCGCAAAGGGAAGGAGGGGTTTACCAGAGCTTGGAACCACTTGGCCTTCCTTGAGGAGCCCCTTCTGGTTGCTGAGGTCCCTGAGTTCCAATGACTCGTGTTCTGTGCTGCCATAGACATTGGAGGCATCAATGAAAGAGGTGAGGTGATTGATTTGCTCTCGGGCATAGACAGAGTTCATCAGCAGGGAGGTCATCCCACTGCCGCACACAGGACTGGAACGGACAAAGAACATGCAGCGTCCGTTCCTCACCCGTGGGTCGTTCTCTGGAATCATGATGGAGAAGCAAGGAGGGTCATTGGTACACACCTGACTGCAAGACTCTCCATCTGAGAACCGGGCCATGCTGATGGCAGCCACAGTCTGGTCAAGGTCATGGTCCAGGAACTGGCCCCATTGCATCAGCATGTGAGTGAACTGGTCGTCAGGTGTAATGATCTCTGTCCCAATCATAGCAGTGGAGACCAAGCGAGGCAGAGGAAGGGGGAGCTCTCTGGAGTCTTCCACCAAAGAGAAGCCTCTGGGGAGGTTGAAGCCATTCTGGTAGGCTGGCTTGAGCAGGCGTTGGAACGCTGTGAGGGACGCCCCCCACATGGGATGCTGGAGGTTATTACATGAGCCGTCGTGGGTCCGGTACTTCTTGTGAAAGCAGATATTGGAGCAGTTGGGTGTGCGGCGGTGGGCGGAACAGCCGGACAGGTTGCCAATCATGTTGAGGTAGTGAGGGGAGACCAGGTCATTGTAGCGGTAACCTGCAAGATGACTCCCCAAGTATTATTACTGGAGTATTAGAGTCAAAATAAACATTCAATATGTAATTCAATATATTCAATATACAATTCTCTCCCTTCCTTCCACTCCACAGATGTCATACTTGGGTGAAATTATTAATTGCTGATGTTTTATGGGTCTCATAGTTGTCCATAACATATAAGTGTTTGTCTTAAGAACTCAATGTCAAAGCAAAAAAAGGCATTTTAAAAGATATTTTAGACATATTTCTACTTAACATGTAACTGGGTAATATATTAAAATACATCATACTCTATTGCAAACTAGCAATCAAAGACTAGTGCCAGGATGACAAGAACTATGGGATCATTTCTGGAATCCTCAGACACTTTTTAGCCACTTTCCGGAAGAACATAAGTGGGTGTGAGTAATATATTTTCTGGGAATGTAATCCACTACTTTGTTTAACTTCCCTCCTTAGCCTCTTGTGTTTTATGGGTTTCATTACGTGCCCAGAACACAGCTGTTTCTCTTAATATCCACAATTCTAGAGGAAATATATCTAAATTTATAATCAATATCACAAACAGACACCTGCAAGAAGGACAGGAAACAATTTCCAGACAAGAAACAATCAGGGCCAGTTAATACTTCCCAACAAAGGATTCCCCCAGGCATGAAGAAGCCAGGTTTTGAAGCTGCAAGTCCATTTAATTCTAATCAAGGTGGCCAATTACAACATTCTCACCTGCCTCAAACAGACAAGAGTTCTTTCTCCCACCCTGGACATTCCACAGATATATTAACCTCATTTGCCTAGTTTCCAACAGACCTCACAACCTCTGAGGATGCTTGATATAGATGTGGGTGAAACATCAGGAGAGAATGCTTCTGGAACATGGCCATACAGCTCGGAAAACTCACAACAATCCAGTGATTCTGGCCATGAAAGCCTTCGACAACACATTACACACACACACAAAATATCTTCTTCAGATGAATTTGCAGAAGCACCAAATCTAACACCAAATAATATCTCTCTCAAATATTTTGTTTGATAAACTCTGCTCACTTTACCTATCCACTTTCGACAATAATTTTATGAGGTGGGAGTGAGTAATCCAAACTGGCCCTGTGCATTTTTTTGGCTCAGTAGGAATTAGAACCTGAGTCTCTCATCCAGTACCCCACAAGAGATTTCAAAATGCCACTTGCTCTGTGCTGTTGTTTCTACCTGTTCCATTCATGTCCACCACCAGCCCCTGCTGCACATGCTCCTGAATCAGCTGCAAAGTCCTCTCAAAGATCTCTCCAGCTCGAGCTGTTTCAATCGTGTACGGGTCCCGTGGATAACGGAAAAGGGCCAGCAATTCATTAGGAGTTTTGGGCCGCCTGTTTGGAGAAGAGAAAAAGTCAGGTTGCCAATGGTGTCAAGGTTTTCCAAATCTTAATACGGTGGCCTCTCTGCTTTTCCAGGAATAAGGAATACAGGACCTCATGAAAGTGGAAAATCTGTTCTCTGATTCTTCAGAGGATGGAACTAAGTCTAGTTTATTTATTTATTTCGTTTCAAAAGCATTGCATAAATGAGGACAAAACTGATAAAAAATAGAAGGAGCGCAGGCAGCTAAATATCTTTTGACCAAAAACAGGCAACAGCAACAGCATTGTCTGTAGCCTCCAACAATTCTTCCTCTGTACATGAGGCAGGGCATAGTGGGCAAGCACACAGATGTGGAGTTGTCTGTTCTGTTTCAGAGTCACACAAAGCGTGGGATCCTTTTAGGTCATGCCATTTTGCCAGGTTGTCTTTTGATCTGGTCACTCTACTTCTGAGTCTGTTCAGGGACTTCCAAGTTACCCATTCTTGGTTTGCCCCTGGAGGAAGACCCTCATGGAGGGCCATCCAGTTGGGATTTCCTGGTTTAGCTGCCCAGAGGGATACCCTTGCTGTTGCTGGGTGGATGCCAAGAGGAGTCATAGAATCATAGAGTTGGAAGTCCAACCCCATTCTGCCAAGAAGCAGGAATATTGCATTCAAATCACCCCTGACAGATGGCCATCCAGCCTCTGTTTAAAAGCCTCCAAAGAAGGAGCCTCCACCACACTCCGGGGCAGAGAGTTCCACTGCTGAATGGCTCTCACAGTCAGAAAGTTCTTCCTCATGTTCAGATGGAATCCCCTTTCTTGTAGTTTGAAGCCATTGTCCTGCGTCCTAGTCTCCAGGGAAGCAGAAAACAATCTTGCTCCCTTCTCCCTATGACTTCCCCTCACCTCTTTATTCATGGCTATCATATCTCCTCTCAGCCTTCTCTTCTTCAGGCTAAACATGCCCAGCTCTTTAAGCCGCTCCTCATAGGGCTTGTTCTCCAGACCCTTGATCATTTTAGTCGCCTTCCTCTGGACACATTCCAGGTTGTCAATGTCTCTCTTTCCTTTCAAATTGTAAGTTGATTATTTATTTATTTATTTATTTATATCCCTTTCGATAGTTAGATTTGAATTTGCATTCCTTCCTGCAAATATCTTCTGATAGGTTCCCAATCGGTTTGGGTTTTTTTTGTATGTATTTTCCATAAGTTGCGACAGCCTGTCCATATTCATATAGTCTATTATCTTGGTTATCCAGCCTTCAATTTCAGGTGGGTCTTGCCCTTTCCATTTCTGGGCAACTGTTATTCTTGCTGCTGCAGATATATAAAATGACATTTTCTCCTCATTTGTCCCCAATTCTTAAATTTGTTATATTTAGTAGATAATATTCTGGTTTCATTTCAAATTTGACCTTAATGATTTTTTGAGTATGTTTGTGTATTGATACCCAAAATTTCTTCATTGTTTTACATCCCCACCATAAATGGAAGTAGGTGTCTAATTCTCTTCCACATCTCCAGCATCTATTATTGTATTTTTTATTGAATTTTGATAATTGTAGTGGGGTTAGATACCAATCGTAGAATATCTTGTACCAACCTTCAATTATGTTGGTAGCCTTTGTATATCTTAGTTTTGTCAACCAGACATTTTCCCAGTCTTTTAACAAAATTGAGTGCCCAATATCTATAGCCCATTTTGTCATATTTTCTTTTATTGTATCTTTTTCCGTGTCCCACTCTAATAGTCTTTGGTAGAGGACTTTAATTACCTTTTTATCCCTTTTCATTATTGCTTCCCAGTTTTTTTCTTTAGTATTGAAGTCTATCTTCCAATCTTCTTTAAAACATTCTTTAGTTTGCAAATAGTGGAACCAACTCATTTTTTCATTGAATTCTCTTATTTCTTCCAAGGTTTTCAACTCCCATCCGTTATTTTGTTTACTCAGTAAGTTTTTATAAGAATGCCATTTGTCGCATGGAATTTCCCTATTGTGAAATGCTTCTGCGGGAGATACCCATAAAGGTGTTTTCTCATAGAAAAACCTCTTATACTTGTCCCAAACTTTCAATAGTGTCGCTCTAACAAAATGGTTCGTGAATTTTTCCCCCACTTTTGCCTTGCTATGGTTCTCATCCTTCGAGCTGCCATAAGTCAAAGTCATTACAATAATCAACAAGCAAACTTACTTGCTGAAGAGTTCAGTGCGCGTAGAATTGATAGCATGGTCCACGCTGCTGATTGCTTCCTGGATTGAGGTGGCTACAAATGTATCGCCACTTCTGCCGATATTTGTGGCTTTATTTTACCCATTGTGGGGGAAAACAGCAGAAAGAAAGAACATTAGTATTAATGGCTCATAGGTTTTACTTTTGATTTCACTTTTGTCCACCTTGAAACAGCACTTACACCAGGCATGGGCAAACTTTGGCCCTCCAGGTGTTTTGGACTTTAACTCTCACAATTCTTAACAGCCGGTAGGCTGTTAGGAATTGTGGGAGTTTAAGTCCAAAACACCTGGAGGGCCAAAGTTTGCCCATGCCTGTTATACACCAATAATACATATCTAGATGTTCTGGGAATGTAAGTTTCATTGGCACAAAATGAAATAATTTTAAGAATTAAACATCGTTGTTTGTTTTGACCTCTTAATTGTTATTCTGTACACCATATTGTAACTTCTATGGGATAGTGATTTGACCCAGAAGGTGGGAAAGCGTAAGGAAGGGATTGTACTTTTGCAGGGGTTTGGGGCGTAGGGTCCTGGCAAAGTGGAAAACACACACAATAAAAACATAACAGGTTTTACCTGAAATAACACTTCTCTAGGAATCTAGCTTCTCCAACATAACCTTATGGTTAACTTTCATTTTGGATGTTTGCTCAGCTTCCTGATGGACCCAAAGGCCAAAAACTACCAGTTTCTCACCTCCTGATTAAGCACATTGGCAGAGAAAATCCAACTGTGGCTGTTTCCACACTGCAGAATTATAGCAGTTTGATTTTTTTTTTGTCGTGTCAGGAGTGACTTGAGAAACTGCAAGTCGCTTTTGGTGTGAGAGAATTGGCCATCTGCAAGGACATTGCGCAGGGGACGCCTGGATGATATGATGTTTTTATCATCCTTGTGGGAGGCTTCTCTCATGTCCCCTCATGAGGAGCAGTTTGATGTCACATCAGCAGTCATGGCTCAATGCTATGGAATCATAGAATTAAAGAGTCGGAAGAGACATTGTGGGCTATACATTCCAACCTCCTGCCAAAAAGCAGGAAAATTGAAAGCACCCCTGCCATATGCCCATCCAGGCTCTGTTTAAAAGCCTCCAAAGAAGGAGCCTCAAACACACTCTGGGGCAGAGAGTTCCACTGTTGAACAGCTCTCACAGTTAGGAAGTGTTTCTCATATTCAGGTGGAATCTTCTTTCCTGTAGTTTGAAGTCATTGTTCTGCATCCTAGTCTCCAAGGCAGCAGAAAACAAGCTTGCTCCCTCCTCCCTATGAATTCCCCTCAGATATTTATACATGGACCTCATCATGTCTCCTCTCAGCCTTCTCTTCTGAGGGCTAAACATGCTGAGCTCTTTATGCTGCTCCTCATAGGGCTTGTTCTCCAGATCCTTATTCTTTTAGTCGCCCTCCTCTTGACATATTCCAGCCTGTCAATATCTCCCTTCAATTGTGGTGCCCAGAATTGGACAGTGTGATTCCAGGTCTGGTCTGACCAAGGAAATATGGAGGGGTAGCATGACTTCCCTGGATCTAGACACTAGACTCCTATTTATGCAGCTTGAGATGTTTACACTTCTATGTCAACAACAAAATGCAAATCCCAGGATTCCAAAAGGTGGTGCTATGGCAGTTAAAGTGACATCAAACTGCAATAATTCTGCTGTGTGAATGGCCTCTGCATCAATGCTACACGAGAAATGGAAAAGGAGAATTATCTTACCAATGACTGTCAGCTGCATGGTGCTGGAAGTGAATCCAAAGGTATTCCTGGCTACACATTCGTATTTCCCTTGATCGGCTGTTCCCAGATCTCTGACAGACAGGGTCCCTTCTTGGCTGATGTGAAATTTCCCACTTTCTGTGATCTGAATGCCTTCCTGTTACATAAAGAAAATTTGTTTCAGTTTGGACAAACTCTTTTCTGCTTGCATACAGAGGTCTCCTCTGCATATGCACCAGGATGAGATATTGCATACATGCCAGCTTTTAACAGATGGACATTTGGACGTGTTTGGTCAAGCAACTTTATAACATGCATCTACAATGTAGAATTAATCCAGTTTGACAACACTTTAGCTGTGATTGCTCAATGCTATGAAATCTTGGGTTGGTAATCTGGTGAGGCTCCAGTACTCTTTGGCAGAGTCCTTGTCAAACTACAGCTCCCATGATTCCATAGCATTGAGCCATGGCAGTTAAAGTGGCATCAACCAAAATTAATTCTACAAAGTATAGGCATTTGTGAACACTGATTGTTTTTGCATTTCATGCATGTGACCACCAGATGGCAGTAACAACACTGCAAAATTCAGGAGGCAGCCAAGGAAAGTCCATTCAGACTATATATAGAATATATTAGCTGATCCGCAAGATGATTTATTTAATATTTCTTCACGCACATTCTTAATAGGTATGTCATTTCATTTTGTTTATTTCTTCCTGCATGCAAGAAGAAACCATTCCAAAAAAAATCTCCCTGTGGCATAAGATTACAAGAAATTCTGTGGATTTAATGTATTGTCAAAGGCTTTCATGGCCGGAATTACTGGGTTGTTGTAGGTTTCTTTGGGCTATATGGCCATGGCCTAGAACCATTCTCTAATTCTGTGGATTTTTGGTGCATTTTTCAGTGATGTACTTCACTTTGGCACTTCAAAATAATTGCACATAATACTGTGCAACTGATATGATTCCATAATTCTGAGTGATAACAGCTAATGTGGTGTCAAACAGTATAGATACATCCATAATCATGTCACCATAATCTACCTTTCTCTGTCACTGAGACATGTCATTTCTTTAAGACGTTCCCTTCCTTTAAGTTGTTGTGTTTTTTTTACTAACAGTTTAAAGCTACTCTTTTCTATACAAACTCAAACTCAATGAGATCTTAAAGACTGTGATAGGAGACAAGTGGGAGAGGCAACTTTTGTTTAGCAGTTGGAGGGACACTAAACCCTTAGGTTAGATGAGGTGGGTAAAGTACATCCTTTTCTGCATCCCTTGCAATGCTCATGGACCACTGAAGCTCCAGACCTTCTGATGAAAAAAACAAAAACATTAAAAGCAGTCAAACCACCATAAAAGCATGGTGGCTTGACTCCCTGGCCCTATGTAAATTCCAGATTTACATATTGGGATGTTGTGGGATGATTCCTACACTTCCACAGTCATAGAATCATAGAATCCTAGAGTTGGAAGAGACCTCATGGGCCATCCAGTCCAACCCCCTGCCAAGAAGCAGGAATATTGCATTCAAATCACCCCTGACAGATGGCCATCCAGCCTCTGTTTAAAAGCTTCCAAAAAAGGAGCCTCCACTACACTCCAGGGCAGAGTTTTCCACTGCTGAACGGCTCTCACAGTCAGGAAGTTCTTCCTCATGTTCAGATGGAATCTCCTTTTTTGTAGTTTGAAGCCACTGTTCCTCGTCCTAGTCTCCATGGAAGCAGTAAACAAGCTTGCTCCCTCCTCCCTGTGGCTTCGTCTCACATATTTATTCATGGCTATCATATCTCCTCTCAGCCTTCTCTTCTTCAGGCTAAACATGCCCAGCTCCTTAAGCCGCTCCTCATAGGGCTTGTTCTCCAGACCCTTGATCATTTTAGTCACCCTCCTCTGGACACATTCCAGCTTGTCAATATCTCTCTTGAACTGTGGTGCCCAGAATTGGACACAATATTCCAGGTGTGGTCTAACCAAAGCAGAATAGAGGGGTAGCATTACTGCCATAGATCGAGACACTATGCTCCTATTGATGCAGGCCAAAATCCCATAGGCTTTTTTTGCCGCCACATCACATTGTTGGCTCATGTTTAACTTGTTGTCCACAAGGACTCCAAAATCTTTTTCACGTGTATTGCTTTCAAGCCAGGCGTCCCCCATTCTATATCTTTGCATTTAGTTTTTTCTGCCTAAGTGGAGTATCTTGCATTTGTCACTGTTGAACTTCATTTTGTTAGTTCTGGCCCATCTCTCTAATTTAGTCCCCAATCCTGATACTTTCCAACTGTCCCACTTTGGCAGAGACAGTCTCAATTAATCCGACGTTATCCCACTTTTTCCATTGCTTTTACTGTCCAGGTTTCTCTCTCCTCCTTCCACTTTAGTCCTCAGCTTACTTCTGTTGTTGCAAACTGAGTTCCAACTACAAAACTCTACTTGGAAAGCGGACAAAGATAGAATAAGCTTTCCTAGGATACTCTGACACAAGCAAACTGCTGCAGCTCTTCTATTCCTCCTCGTTAATAACATTTGCCATTTCGGTGTTGCTTGGCCATTTCTCTCCTAGTTTTCATCTGTATAATGTTGGAAGGTATGCAACCAACAGTTAGGTAGTAAACACTCATACCTTGGCCCATGTTATGATGGGTTGTGGATCTCCCTGAGCAGCGCATGGGATCTCAATGTCTTGCCCAGTCTCTGCTACCATATCTTGTGGAGGATGGAGGAACACTGGAATCACTGTTTAGGAGTGAACAAGAAATAGAGTGGGACACGGATTCATACCTCCTTTGCTGTGGACAACAAAGGTTGGGAGAAGATTTCAAGGGACAGACAATACCAACGGAATGGTTTGTTGTTGTTTAATCGTTCAGTCACTTCTGACTCTTTGTGACCTCATGAACCAGCCCAGGCCAGAGCTCCCTGTCGGTCATGGCCACTCCCAGCTCATTCAAAGTCAAGCCAGTCACTTCAAGGATACCATCTATCCATCTTGCCCTTGGTATGCCAATATAAGTCAGGAATGGGCAAACGTCGGTCCTCCAGGTGTTTTGGACTTCATCTCCTACCAGAGATGGACTTGTGGGAGTTAAAGTCCAAAACACCCAGAGAACCGAAGCTTGCCCATGCTTGATCTATATCCATACGTACCTCGCGGAGTCACCCATAGCTGGACTGGGACACTCCGGACACCGATTGCGCTAATGGCATGGCACTCGTATTGGCCTTGGTTGTGAAGGGCTACTCGGACTACCCTCAAGGTACCCGTGGCAAGGATGCTGTGTCTCCGATCACTTGGCAACGGTCCACCTAAACAGAAAAGCAGCAGGTTCATGAGATAGCATTCAAATAGTGTTTTTGGCTTCTTGAAGATTTTGTAATGGGATTCCAAAAGAACAAAACATTTTGTTCAAAGAAAATCTGCCCAAATCCTAGGAGTTGGTGAGGCACACACATTCTTTAAAGGAGAAGGTTGAAAACCTCGTAGAAGTCAAATTCCCATGATTCCATAATATTAAGCCATAGTGGTCAAGGTGATGTCAAACTGCATCTTGTGGTCATATCTAACTGCAGCAGAGCTTTCCAAACTGCAACACATTCTTGCAGTGGATGCAGTGTGTAGGTATGTTATGCAAACATAATGAAAAATGACAAAAATCTTGAAAATGTATGTTATTATCTTACAAATTTATTTATTTATTTGTTTGTTTGTTTATTATATTTTTATATTGCCCCTCTCAACCCACAGGCGACTCAGGGCAGTTAACAGAGGCAACAATTTAATGCCAACAACAGCATAAAACATTTAAAAACATTAACATATAATATAATACCTTAACAAAATCAATTAAAAGCATAAATCATAAGTATTTCTTAATTAAAAATGTTGTCCAAAATCATTATCCAATGGTTCCATATTCCTATGTCTGTTACACTGCATTGTCAAACGCTTGCTCAAGCAGCCAAGTCTTAACTTTCCTCTGGAATACTATAATAATAATAATAATAATAATAATAATAATAATAATAATAAACCTTTATTTATACCCCGCTACCATCTCCCGCAGGACTCTGTGCAGCTTACAAGAGGCCGAGCCCAAATACATCAGAAACAAAAAACACAACAACAACAATACAACAATAAATAACTCATAGCAAAGGAAAACAATAACAAAAATATCACGACGCATTTAAAAACCTGTGGCAGGGCCAAATGTAATGGTTAATTTTTAAAAAAAATGCTGGGCATGTCCAGGTGAAATAGGATGGATATTTTAGGGATAAGTGGGTGTGCAGACAATTCTAACTCTCTCGTAAAGTGCATTTGGGACAAATTGCTTGGGATACCTTGGGATAAAAGGGAAAGGGCTGCTCTAAAATCATATATTTAACAATATAAATGAAAGGTTTTCATGAGCTATGTCGTGTCTCTATACATTGCATTATTATATTTTATGTATGTGTCTGTATTACTAAGAAGGGGCTGTTTAACCTCTGGTTGGCTAGGAAAACTGAATTACTGTGTTGCGAAATGATGCATGTCTAAAAAATATGTCACCAACATGAAACATTTGGAAATCTGTGAGCAACAGGGATGTTTTTATAAAAAGGATAACACTACACGGATATTTATAGACAGACATTTTGGTGTCACCATCTCAGATTGTGTTATGTGCTATGGTTTACATACTCCGAAACTCGCTAGTGATGCCATTGGCTTGAAGCTGTTCTTGACAATAGCTGAGTCATAACAGAAAAAACAAAGTTTAAGACCTAGGATTGTGTACTGATTTATTGGACTAGGATAGTGGGAAAGCAGGGTCTGAATCCCTGTTCAGTGATGGGAGCCCACTAGGTGCCTTTGAGCAATTCATTCTCTCAGCCTCAGAGGAAAGAAATGGCAACCCCCCTCCAAATAAATGCCTAGAAACCCCTAGGTCATCCAGGGAGGTCTGTGCAGGGCTTCAAAAGACTAGTAAGAACATTGGTTTGGCAGGGGTAAATTGGGGTAAGATTACAGACTCCATAATAACAATGTGAAGCCTAAACACTGCATAAGGCATCTTGTACAAACACCACTGTGCCACACAGAGATGATTAAACCCTTAACCCTGTAGTCATTCAGGTGTGAACAAACAAGCTTTCCATGGTGGTGTCAAAGCCAAGAAACTGAAACAGTGGGATGTGAAGCATTGCAAAGCCTTTCTGGATGTCAGTGATTCCATAGCCAGCTTTGAGATTTTGAGATTTTTTGTTGCACCATTCCTTTAACCACAATTCAGATCTTCTGTGGGCTTAAGTCCAAATGCTAATCCCTCCAAAACAGTCAGGAAAAAGAAAAAGAAAGAAAACACCTATTAAGCTCCAAGAGCCATTTCAGTATTTACAGTCTGAGGAGCCTGAGTTATCCTTCTTGTATTATTAATCTAGAACAGTGGTTCTCAACCTGTAGGTCTCCAGATGTTTTAGCCTTCAACTCCCAGAAACCCTAACAGCTAGTAAACTGGTTGTTAGGAATTGTAGAAGTCCAGAACACCTGGAGGGTCAAAGTTTGTACATGCCTGGTATATCCTGCTTCTTGGTAGAGGGTTGGACTGGATGGCCTACAAGATCTCTTCCAACTCTATGATTCTATGATTGTATATAACATACCAAGGTAGTTTAGTGGTTACAGCAAGAACCATGTTCAATTCCCAGCTGAAACATGAAACTCATTGGATGAGCGATCATTCCAGCATTTCTCAACCTGGGGGTCAGGACTCCTGGGGGGGGGTCATGAGGGGATGTCAGAGGGATCACCAAAGACCATCAGAAAACACAGTATTTTCTGTTGGCCATGGGGGTTCTGTGTGGGAAGTCTGGCTCAATTTTCTCATTGGTGGGGTTCAGAATTTATAAGTGAACTATAAATTCCAGCAATTACAATGCCCAAATGTCAAGGTCTAATTTCCCCAAACTCCACCAGTCCATGGTACTTTCTGGATGTAGGTGAACTACAACTCCAGAACTTAAGGTCAATGCACACCAAACCCTTCCAGTATTTTCTGTTGGCCATGGGAGTCCTGTGTGCCAAGTTTGGTTCAATTCCATCGTTGGTAGAGTTCCGAATTCTCTTTGATTGTAGGTGAACTATAAATCCCAGGAACTACAACTCCTAAATGACAAAATCAATCCCCCCAACCCCATCAGTATTCAAATTTGGGAGTATTGGGTATTTGTGCCAAATTTGGTCCAGTGAATGAAAGTACATCCTGCATATCAGACATTTACATTACGATTCATAACAATAGCAAAATGACAGTTATGAAGTAGCCACAAAAATAATTTTCTCGTTGGGGGTCAGCACAACAGGAGGAACTATATTAAGGGGCCGTGGCATTCTGAAGGTTGAGAACCACTGGATTATTCAATCTCCCAGCCTTTATCTCACCTACTATAAAGATATTCCTCTCTCTCAGCCTAGAGGCATCATGCCTTGCTCAGACAATGAAGGCATGAGCCCCATATCCATGGAGGAGGCATTCTAAGACTCTCCTGGATACCTGAAACCACAGGTAATAGTGAATCCTGTATTTTGACTGTACTTAAGTTGTATGTCTGGCATCAGAAAGAAGCACAACACAGAATTGCACTGGAGGAGTGAAGTCCCACAAACACTTCCAGGAGAGAATATATTTTGGGTGTGGGCAAGTGAAATTGTGGACACTGAATATGTGGACAGAAGAAGCTAATACACTCAAAATACCTGCTCTTGTCCAAGCAATTACAGGTAGAGGATGGCCTTCAGCGGAACATGGAAAATCCACACTTTGACCTTCTGTGACCGTCTGATCTGTAGGAGTTACCAAAAACTTTGGAGTATCTGAGGATGGAAAGAAACAAGATGGAGAATAAGAATAATAATAACAAACCTTTATTTATACCCCGCTACCATCTCCCGAAGGACTCGGTGCGGCTTACAAGAGGCCAAGCCCAAATACATCAGTAAAACACAACAACAACAATACAATAATAATAATAAAAAAACTCATAAACAAAGCAAAAAACATTTACAATAACACCGAGGTGCATTAAAACCTGTGGCAGGGCCAAATGTAATACTTAAACCCTTTAAAAAGTGCTGGGCATGATCAGGTGAAATAGGATAGATATTTTAGGGATAGGAGGGGCGTGCAGGCAATTCTAGATCTCTGCTAAAGTGTATTTGGGACATATTGCTTGGAGTTTCCTTATTCTGGGAAGGCACACTGGAACAACCATGTTTTCAAGCTCCTTCTAAAGACTGCCAACGTTGGGGCATGCCTGATGTCCTTGGGGAGTGAGTTCCAGAGTCGAGGAGCCACCACTGAGAAGGCCCTGTCCCTCAGCCCCACCAATCGTGCTTGCGATGCTGGTGAGATCACGAGCAGGGCCTCTCCAGATGATCGAAGAGATCATGTGGGTTCGTATACAGAGATGCGGGCACGCAGGTAGGCGGGTCCCAAACTGTTTAGGGCTTTGTAGGTAAATACCTGCACCTTGAATTGGGACCAGAAAATGAACAGCAGCCAATGGAGCTCCTTAAACAGGAGGGTTGACCTCTCCCTGTAAGGAGCACCAGTTAACAACCTGGCCGCTGCCCACTGGACCAATTGAAATTTCCAGGCCGTTTTCAAGGGCAGCCCCACGTAGAGTGCGTTACAGTAGTCCAGTCTGGAGGTGACTAAGGCATGGACCACCCTGGCCAGAATGGAGAAGAGAAGAATGGAGAAGAGAAGAATGGAGAAGAAGCTGTCTTGCATTGGTCTTTATCATTCTTCTCCTGTTTGAAACATTTTTAAATGGCTTTGGAAAGTTGTATATCTGAAAAGCAACATTTGTGAAATGTTGCAAGCTATGCAACCAACAGTGTCAATCGAAGTACTTTATTCCTCAGCAACTGTGTTGCACATTCCACACATATTGAACTGAGGATACAAAAGTGAAATAATTCAATGTACAGCTATTTGAGAGAAGGAATGTGCTAATAGAGCCTTCCCTTGCTGGAAAGAACCATTATTCTGCAATTATGGGACTTTTGGAATATGCTCTTTTTAAGAAGCAGGCATGCCTATTTAGGTCTCCAAAATCAATAGAAAGCAAAGACATTTTGGCATCCGTGGTGTATAGAAATCTGAATGTTTATTAACAAAATTTCCTTCCTAAAACCTCCCTCCCCTCCCTGCTGGCTAGAGAGGCCCATATGGATTATATATGCTTTCTCAGGAAATCCCACATAATAAATAAAGATTTCTGTTATGAGAGATTTCACATTTTTGCAATACAGTAAGTAACACTGAACAGATGGCAGGCACGTCTAAGTGTGTTTTGGGTTTGTAAGAATCTTCCTATTTATGAAGCTTCCCTTCTGAACCACCCACCCTTCCCTTTGAGTTGTTCTTGTTCATTTGTTCAGTCGTCTCCGACTCTTCGTGACTTCATGGACCAGTCCACGCCAGAGCTCCCTGTCGGCCGTCACCACCCCCAGCTCCTTCAAGGTCAGTCCAGTCACTTCAAGGATGCCATCCATCCATCTTGCCCTTGGTCGGCCCTCTTCCTTTTGCCTTCCACTTTCCCCAGCATCATTGTCTTCTCTAGGCTTTGCTGTCTCCTCATGATGTGGCCAAAGGACTTCAGCTTTGTCTCTAGTATCCTTCCCTCCAGTGAGCAGTCGGGCTTTATTTCCTGGAGGATGGACTGGTTGGATCTTCTCGCAGTCCAAGGCACTCTCAGAACTTTCCTCCAACACCACAGCTCAAAAGCATCGATCTTCCTTCGCTCAGCCTTCCCTAAGGTCCAGCTCTCACATCCGTAGGTTACTACAGGGAATACCATGGCTTTGACTAGGCGGATCTTTGTTGCCAGTCTGATGTCTCTACTCTTTACTATTTTATTGAGATTGGACATTGCTCTCCTCCCAAGAAGTAGGCATCTTCTGATTTCCTGGCCACAGTCTGCATCTGCAGTAATCTTTGCCCCTAGAAATAGAAAGTCTGTCACGGCCTCCACGTTTTCTCCCTCTATTTCCCAGTTGTCCCTTTGAGTTAGCCAAGTGCAAACTACTCTTGCTCTTTGAACTCAGTTTGCAGCAAATGAAGCATGATGAAGATGAAGGGGGAAAGCGGGGAAAGGGGAGAGGAATAGGTATTTTTTGATACAGCTGATAAAGTAGGACGACAAAGGGTTAATCAGGGTTGTCCCTGTCAAATAGGGACAGGTTGGAGAGTATGTTAAAGGGAACTGAGTCACCTTGAACTATAACGTTTGCTGTGGCCTGGATGGAGCCTTCGCTGTTACTGGCATTGCAGCTGTATTGCCCCTGGTCAGAGAAAGTGACATTTTGGATGTAGAGGCCTCCAGAGCCAGTGATGGTGAAGCGTGAATCCTGCGGCAAAGGAGATCCCGAGCTCAGCACCCAAATAACACGAGGAGGAGGGTTCCCGGAGACGCCACATTCGAGGGTCACGCTTCCTCCAACAAGGACTTCTGTATTCTGAGGCTGGATCACAAAGCTTGGCTTGGCTGGAAGCAAAAACAACCCAACTTAGAGTGCATCTGCAATTTGATTCCATTTAACTGTTATGGCTACTAACTATAGAATTATATGGCATGATAGGATTAGAGTTGTGATCAATATGATAGGTGGTTTGAATAACCTTGTATGGTTGAAGTATGATTGGGACCCATAAGGCTGAAGATACCATTCTAAGAATATTGAAGCCTGGAAAATTACAAAAGGAGGTGAAGAATTCATGAACTGCTGACACAAACAGAAACAAATGATGAACTATGTGGTTGAAAACATTATGTTTGCATTACCAGAGACTATTTACTTACTTATTCACCCTATTTATACCTTGCCTTTCTCTACCCCAAGGGGGTCTCAAGGCGGCTTACTTATAGTAATTATTCGATGCCTTAAAAACATACAACATTAAACTTAGAATCCATTGAATTAAAATTAATACATATTTAAAAAATTAAAATACATTCAATATTAAATTTACACTATCCAAAAATTGTAGTCAGGCCATTCTGTAGTCATTGCACATATTCCAATTATATTATTTTATTGCAATGCTTCTCATAAGGCCTGATCCCTGAGCCAGCTTTTTACTCTCCTTCTGAAGGCTGGGGGGGGGGGGGGGGGGGGGGGGCGCTGATCTAATGTCACTAAGGAGGGAATTCCACAGCCAAGGGGCCACCACGGAGAAGGCCCTGTTTCTTGTCTCCACCAGTTGTGCTTGCGAAGAAGGTGGGATCAACAACAGGGCCTCCCCAGAAGATCTTAATCTCCAGGGTGGTTCATAGGGGGAGATGCGTTCAGACAGGTAAGTTGGGCTGGAATCATTTAGGCTTTATAGGCTAAAGCCAGCACTTTGAATTGTCCTCAGTAGCAACTGGCAGCCAGTGGAGCTGACATAACACAAGGGTTGTATGCTTCCTGTTCGATGCTCTGGTGAGTAACCTGGCTGCCGCCCATTGGACCAAATGGAGCTTCCAAACAATCTTCAAAGGCAACTCCGTGTAGAGCGCTTTGCAGTAATCTATACAGGATATAACCACAGTGTGGACCACCATGGCCAAGTTTGACTTCCCAAGGTATGGGCACAATGGCCGTTTTAAGCTAAGGAAGTCAAACAATGCTCCTTTACTCAAAGAAAAATTACATGTTTGGAACTCATGTAGTCAGCAAGTTTTAGCTGAAAAACAACCTGCCAGTCATTTACAACTTCTTGAAAAATTTGGAACAACATCAGAAAGAAATATGCTATATAGGAGACCTTTTTCACTTTCCAAAATTGTGTCAGATCTGCAGTGGAACAGAGAGTGTGGTTACCTGCCGCTTTCTCCAAGGGACGGAGAAAGATGGCATACTGCAGAATAGTAGATTTGATGGGAATGCAATCTGGCCTATGTTTGGGGTTTCTTCTCCAGGAGAAGGAAAAAGCGATGGTAATGTATGCATGATGAATGAAATAATGATGAATAAATGTTTTTGTGTGTATGAATTTTGAGTAAAATGGAATATCCCCCTTTGTGTACCCAATAGAGTCTGTGTGTGTCTACCTTCTTTTTCTGTTAAGTGACTGATAATACTCTGTCTCACTGAAAAGAGAATAAAAGAACCTTTTTAATGTTAAAGAAGTATTCATAACATAGTGATCTTAAAATGATAAGATGTCTGAGCAATCCCAGGATTTCAATTTTGGGGAAGTATGTATTTAGAATTTTCAGGGGCTTTATCTACAGCCCTTTCCCCAAAATTTCCAGGCCTCTCAAATGAACTACAACTTCCAGTATTCCATAGGCATACTGTAATCTGGTAGCTGTTGTGTACTTTCAAGTCATTTCTGAATCACTGTGACCCTAAGATGTTTTTATGGCTTTTTACAGTGTTTTTATGGCTTTGTACAATGTTTTAATGGCTTTGTATGGTTTTTTATATTTTTATATTTTCTGCTATATGTTTTTAACAGTATTTTATGTTTGTTTTAATTGTTTATAATTGTTGAGGCATCAAATTGTTGCCAACTGAAAACTACCCTGAGTCGCCTCTGGGCTGAGAAGGGCAGTATACAAATATGGTAAATAAATAAACAAACAAACAAATAAGATGGGGGTTTCCTGGGGCTGAGAGTGTGACTCTCTAAAAGTGTGTTTCCATGGCTGAGCAGAGAATTAAATTGAACTTCGGTCTACAGTTATACTCCACAGTTCAAACCACAATATAATACTGGGTCCGTTAAAGCAGGGTGAAATGATTAACCCTTAATTAAAGTAGAATGAAGCTATTGTATACACACTCTTACTGAAACGAATGGAATTGAATCATTCAAACTCAGAGGCACATTAGCAAAGCCTTAACTTTCAAAAGACTTTCAAGATCAACACATACATGGGTTTCCATAATAGCGTAGGACAACTTCCTGAGTCTTGGCTTCGCCCGCGATATTCTTGGCCATGCACTGATAGATGCCTTTGTCTGACTCCCTGGTATCCTGAATCATTAATGTTCCATCCTGCAGCAGATTCAGCCGTCCGTCTTCCTTCATGTCAATCTCATTGCTGGGAAACAGGACAAAACAGGACAAAAGCAGTAAAACAGGAGTGGGAATCATATAAACCTAAAGATGTTGGTGGGTTGCAATTCCCAGCAACCTGAGCTAGAGTGGCTGTGAGCTACAGTATGCCTCCTGTCTCTTACACACACACACACACACACACACACACAGTCCTTAAAATCATTAAGGTCCCTTCTATCACCTAAGATGAGTAGATAACTTGTAAGAGTAACAACAAAATAGTGTTATGCAGCAACAGTGTTATGCGGCAGACAAAAACCCGATGTAATTCAAAGTTGCATCAATAGGAGTGTATTGTTCAGAACAAGAGAAATAGTAGTGCCATTCTACTCTGTGTTGCTCAGACTTCACCTGCAACAACACTGTGTCCAGTTCTGGGCACTACGATTCAAGAAAGACAGTTACAAGTTGGAGCATGTCCAGAGGAGGGTGAATGTAGAACAACCCTTGACTTATCCAGTGATCATATCAAAATCCATAATTTTGTCCCCCAAACCTGCCCTTGGCTTATATATGTGATTGATATGTACATGAACGAGTATATATGATATTCGAGACTTACTTGTTGTGCAGCCAGATGATCTTGGGCTTTGGATTACCTTCTGCTCGGCAGATGAAATAGACAGTGTTGCCCAGTGTGACATCTACATTCTGCGGCTCTGTTGTGATGCGAGGGCTCTCTGAAACATACCATAAACATGACAAAGTTGTGGCGCAACTGTTTGGGTGTCAGCTGCATTAAAATCACAACTGACTGAAAGGTCATGAGTTCAAAGCCAGCCCGGGTCAGAGTAAGCTCCCAACCATTTGTCTAGCTTGCTGTTGACCTTTGCAGCCCAAGAGACAGTTGCATCTGTCAAGTAGGAAATTTCAGTACCGCTTATGTGGGGAGGCTAACTTAACTACTTTATGATGCCATAAAAATTTCCAGCACCGTGCAAAAGAATGAGGAAGTACTCCATCCTTGTCATACGTGGATGGTAAAGCGACAGCTCCCTCAGTGGCCGCAATTCAAAATGCATACCCTCATGAAGCTGAAAAGTTAAATAGCCTCTGTGTGTCTGTCTATATATGTTGTATGTCTATGGCATTGAATATTTGCCATGTATATGTGCATTGTGATCTGCCCTGAATCCCCTATGGGGTGAGAAGGGCAGAATACAAATACTTTAAATAAAAATAAATAAATGATGCTTCACTTAAGAGCAGAAGGCGCTCTTAGGACCATAAGGCCCACTCCATTCCACGCAGCTGTACAAAATCCATGTCGAACTGGATTATATGGCAGTGTGGACACAGATAACCCAGTTCAAAGCATATATTCTGAGTAATATGGCTGTATGGAAGGTTGTCAGGTGGCTTATTTATTGTCAGGTGGCTTACCACAGTGAAATTCTTGAGTGGTCAAGCTGACAATGGAACGACCTTGCAGCTCCTTTGGGTTCTCACAGGTGACAGCAGTCTGGGCATTGCCCTGGATGGCATATTTATTCAGCAGCTCCGCCAGCCACATCAGGTCACAGTCGCACAGCAGCGCATTGGAATCCAGTCGCCTTGGAAGAGGGTATACAGTGAATTAAGAAGATATGTTATGTATGCTCAACGCTCCCAGATAGAGATGTAGAAGCAGTAAGAAAACATTCTCAGTATGTGTGAAAGGGATCTAGGAGTCTTAGCAAACCACAAGCTGAACATGAGTCAACAATGTGATGCAGCGGTAGAAAAGCCAACGCGATACTAGGTTACATCAATAGAAATATTGTGTATAGATAGAAGGAATTAATAGTCCCACTCTATTTTGCTAATGTCATATCTCATCTGGAATAATGTGTCCAGTTTTGGGTACCACAATTCAAGAAGGATATTAGGAAGCTAGAATATGTCCAGAGATGAGCACCTAGAAGAATCAAATGCTTGGAAACAATGAGTCATTATAAAGAACAGCTTAGCGGGCTGGCTATGTTTATCTTGGAGAGGAGAAGAGGTGACACAATAGTCACTTGCCTGGATCAGATGCTGCTTTGGAACAGAGTATGGTCCCATATCCACAGGAGTTACAGTGTGTGGCTATGTGAAACTGTGGATAATAGTGGAACCTATTGAAATGAACACTGAAAGTCTAAGAAAATGCTTAGGAAGGACATATTTAAAGGTTTCCCCTTGACATTAAGTCAAGTCATGTCCGACTCTGGGAAATGGGGCTCATCTCCATTTCTAAGCTGAAGAATGGGCATTGTTCAAAGATGCCTCCTAGGTCATATGGTCGACATGACTGCATGGAGCACTGTTACCTTCCCGCAGAAGCAGTACTTATTGATCTACTCACATTTGCATGCTTTTGAACTGCTAGGTTTGCAGAAGCTGGGGCTAACAACAGGAGCTCACCCCACCCATAGGTTCGAACCTCCAGCCTTGACCAGGATGTCCTGCAGCTTAGCGGTTTAACTTGCTGCACCACCATGCACTACAGCCCCAAGACATATATAGTTGGGTTGTTGTAGGGTTTTTTGGGCTATATAGTTGGATGTAAATAAATGATAATCATGAATACAGTCCTGTGGATATGGGACTCATACTGTATTCACTTATAATCGGTCCTACAGAAACCAGAAAGAGGCATCCTAGCGCTGTTGATCATGATATAGGAGATCTATAGAGGCAGGAAATTTAAACTGGGACATCCCAAACCCACTACTGCTTCGGAAAGTTACTTTTTTGTACTACACCTCCTACAAGCTTCCAAATAGCATGGTTAGTGCAATGAGCAGGCATAATGCAATATAATATTGAAAAGGGCATGCTTTACCGCTTCTTCTTTACCGCCAGAGAGTACTAGAGCCCCGCTCCCAAGAACGAAGAAATATAATAATAATAATAATAATAATAATAATAATAATAATAATGTTTAAATCTCAATATTATAATTGAGATTTAAACATTATTATTATTATTATTATTATTATTATTATTATTATTATTATTATATTTCTTTGTTCTTGGGAGTGGGGCTCTAATATTATAATAGGAGCCCCCGGGGGCGCAGTGGGTTAAACCCCTGTGCCGGCAGGACTGAAGACCGACAGGTCACAGGTTCAAATCCGGGGAGAGGTGGATGAGCTCCCTCTATCAGCTCCAGCTCCTCATGCGGGGACATGAGAGAAGCCTCCCACAAGGCTGATAAAACATCAAAATCATCTGGGTGTCCCCTGGGCAACGTCCTTGCAGACGGCCAATTCTCTCACAACAGGACACTCCTGACACGACAAAAAAATTATTATAATAATAGAAATTAGGTTTAAATATTATAATAATAGTAATAATAATGTTTAAATATCAATATAATAATTCATATTTTATTATATTTAATTGATATCAAATTTATATTTTATTATTAATAATAAAATTGATATTTTATTGTTATATCAATATAATAATTGATAATTGGGTGGCTGAAGCCTATTGGTGTGTTTGGCATAGAAGAAAAGGCCTGCCATGTGTGGGCTCTCAAGGTTATCAAAGCATCGCAGGTACATCTAAGCAGCTGCTGCAGCTGGATCTGCTTTTGCCGTCATTCTGGACCGTTGATGGAGGATGCAATAATTAGTCGTTCTTTGCAACAGCTGCTCTCCACTTACAGACGTTTCAGAGATTCCAATCGGGCGATGGCTCCTGGCTGGATCCTGGAAATCCGATTGTTGTGCAAGAAGCTGTGTTGGGGATAATGAAGGATGCCAGAGCATTACTTAGAATTTGTTAAGGTCATCTTCCAAGAAACACACAAAAAAGAAGCCGATATTTAAAGATGAAGCTTTAAAACTGTAATGCAGTTTCTGAGCCATATGTGACTCCTAGCCCCATCTAAATCCCGATTTAATCATTTCTTGAGGGGCTGGGATTGTACCCCAAAGATACAGTTCATAGAATCATAGAATCATAGAGTTGGAAGAGACCTCATGGGCCATCCAGTCCAACCCCAGTTGCTTATTTGGAACTTCCTATAGTCTTGTGATCCGGTTTCCCAAACCTTTTGTAAAAGTTAGCAGCAGAACAGAGCGACAGAGGTCTGTTCTACTACAGACAACATCTCACAATACCTTGACTGCTAGCAAAACAGACCTCAGCCACTTGGTGCAGATCATAGAATCAAAGAGTTGGAAGAGACCTCATGGGCCACCCAGTCCAACCCCATTCTGCCAAGAAGCAGGAATATTGCATTCAAATCACCCCTGACAGATGGCCATCCAGCCTCTGTTTAAAAGCTTCCAAAGAAGGAGCCTCCACCACACTCCGGGGCAGAGAGTTCCACTGCTGAACGGCTCTCACAGTCAGGAAGTTCTTCCTCATGTTCAGATGGAATCTCCTTTCTTGATATAGGCTGTTAAGGCAGGTGGAGGGGAGAACTCATGATCACAATAATAGCACAGCAATTTTAAACATGAATATTGATCTGCAAATCTGGTTGATGCATTCATAATTGCACAACAGGATGTCAGCTATGAGTCTTTTTTCTGGCCAAAAGCAAGAGTAAGGGGAATGTAATATCATTTAAATGGCAAATTGTGCAGGGTGAAATTGTTTTCCAAAGTGTGTGTATGTAGGTGGGAATTAGAAGGGTTGCAGGCCATCTCTCTGGCTTCGTCTGGCTAATGGGGGTGCTTTGAATGCAATATTCCTGCTTCTTGGCAGGGGGTTGGACTGGATGGCCCATGAGGTCTCTTCCAACTCTATGATTCTATGATTCTAATGTTTGCATATATGTATATTATAAATGATGTGGTCATAATTTTAATTGTAAGCCGCTTTGAGTCTCCTTCAGGAGAGATAAAGCAGGGTATAAATAAATGCCTGAACTGCTGACTTGAAGGTCAGCAGTTCAAATCCATGAGATGGGGTGAGCTCCCATGTGTCAGCTCCAGCTTCCCATGTGGGGACACGAGAGAAGCCTCCCACAGGATGGTAACACATCTGGGTGTCCCCTGTGCAACATTTCTGCAGACAGCCAATTCTCTCACACCAGAAGTGACTTGCAGTTTCTCAAGTCACTTCTGACATGATTAAAAAAAATCCCAAACACAGTCTACTTTTTATTTTTCAAGCAGACAGCACCCTGCTCTTATTCTCCAATAAGAGGCACCAATTTTGAGTGTAATCCTATTTTGGGCAATGTTGGCAGACAGGAAAAGAGATTTAAAGATGGACTCAAAGCCAACCTTAAAAACTCTGGCACAGACACTGAGAACTGGGAAGCCCTGGCCCTTGACCACTCCAGCTGGAGGTCAGCTGTGACCAGCAGTGCTGCAGAATTCGAGGAGGCACGAGTGGAGGGTGAAAGAGAGAAACGTGCCAAGAGGAAGGCGCATCAAGCCAACCCCAACCGGGACCGCCTTCCACCTGGAAACCAATGCCTTCACTGTAGGAGAAGATGCGGGTCAAGAATAGGGCTCCACAGCCACCTACAAACCCACAAAAATAGTCATCAAGGAAGACCATCTTACTCGTCCAACAAGGGATCGCCTAAGTAAGTATTTTGGGCCCCTGCAACTCCCACCAGCCAGTGTATCCAATGATGCAGAATGCTGGGAACAATGACACAATCACACTGAGAGGGCCATATGCTTCCCACCTGACTCTAGAATGTAGATTGCACCCAAATGTTGACAAGTGGAGCCATAGTGGGATTTCAAGGAGAAAATGAGAAGACACAGCACTTCAGTGAAAAACAGTAGGCACTGAAATGATTCAGTGCAATGAAACTGCCTGCCCACAAACTTTGCAACATTTTGATGCTGTGCTTGTGACCCAGAAGTCCCTGATCCTTGCTCCACACTCCCAATGAGATCTTGTAAATTGCTCCCTGCTGGGACTCAAAGCAACGTATGCAGGCCAAAAATAGACATCCCTTAGCAGTCATCAGGTCAGGACTTACAGTCGTTCCAGCTTGGGCAGGTCACTAAAAGTATCTGGCTCCAAGGCATCAAGGTTGTTAAAATGCAGATAACTGAAAAAGAAAATGACATATATGAGCACATGCTTAGATCTCTCAACCATACATTGATACACCTTAGTGTATCACAAGGAAAACTTCATACCCATTTCTAAAATCCAATTTCCATTTGTCTAAAGCAAGGCAAGATGGATTGCATTTATGCAGCAGGTCAAATCCCAGGCACCTGAGGGTGCAATTTATTATTTTGGGGTACCTTGTGTAACGAAATATCTAATTATAATATAGGTTTTGAATATGTTTGTTAATGTTAGTACATTGCAAGTGCAGGCCATCCTTAGCTAGAGCTGCTTGGTTGATGTGTTGCCATAGTAATGAAGCCTGCAGTAGAAATGTATCAATTTCAGCAGAGGTAGGGAGAGAAAGGGGCGGAGCTAACTACCAACAGAAGAGTGGACATTTTAAAATGTTAGCCAGTCTTTAGCTGGGTGAGCTAAAGGAAGGTTGGTTATAGCTGTGTTAGAGCTGGACCAAAGGAGTTTAGGTCTTCAGCCTTGATATTTGGAGTGCTAAATGAACCAGTTCTGAATTAGAAAATAACTTGTGAGCTAAAGGAAAGGAATTCCCAATATTGTTATGATGTGACTTCAGTGACAGAGCTGAAGTGGATAAAAGGAGAAACTGCCTAAGTGTCAGTCAGTGGGACTGAGGAGATAAGTGTTATTTGAGTAATAAACTATAGTTAAGGTGAAGAAATTACAAGATTAAAGTTACCCAGTCAGGAGACTGAGAAAGGACTATATTTTAAAGTGAAGGAAGTTACTAAACCAAGCTGGTAAAAAGATAAGCCATTCTGGAAGTTAAATAGAAACTGTTTCAAGTGTTCATGATAACAAAAGTTAACTGAAACAATATAAAAGAAGTACCGAGAAGAAAATACTGTGTAACCAATACGCTTGTGTGCCTGAGAATACTTAAATAAATACTTCTTTGTTCAATTTCTTTCAACAAAGATTTGTGTCAAGTTACTGAAGTGAAGATTTACTTTAAGGAAGCCGGCTGAAGATCATTTGGAACAGGATTCAGTTTATGGTATTGGGTTACACATATTAAAGAGTCACATATAAAGCATTTTAAAAATCAAACCTCTCTCATACAAGTTTTTCTCAAGCCACTCTCATATAAGTCTCATAATAATAGTCCCAGTCAAGCCTCATAATAATGTTTCTTAAGCCTCACAAATATATGTATATATAAATATTAAAGTGCTCAGCCACACCACCACTATCCAGCCTCCTCATTCCCTCATATTTTTTGTCTCCAAGGAAGGTGTCATCTCCAAGGAAGTCTCCAAGGAGGGTTTCTGTATGCAGTGGTGGTTGGTTCCCATGTCACTGGTGTAGTGAATCCAGTTCAGGGGCAGTCCTTTTTAAAACATAGATGTGCCCCAGGTTTTGGATGGCTTTCAAGGAGCTATCCAAGGTTCTGAGCCTGTTGAGAAATAGGGTTTGGCACATTGTAGAGTTGGGGCAGAATCTGAATTTATCGGGTGCCACTGGTAGGATGGATTGTGAAGTTGGCCAAGGTCTAGAGAAACTTGGGCCCTCCAGGTGTTTTGGACTTCAACTTCCACAATTCCTAACAGCCTCAGTTTTTGAACTGCTAGGTTGGCAGAAGCTGGGCCTAACAGCAGGAGCTCACCCGGCTCCCTGGATTCAAACCACCAACATTTTGGTCAGCAAGTTCATCAGCTCAACAGATTAACCCGCTGTGCCACCAGGGGCTCCTAGAACACCACAAATACTCCAAAATTGTCCACATGGGTGGCTGAGATAATTTTTTTTGGTCATGTCAGGAGTGACTTGAGAAACTGCAAGTCGCTTCTGGTGTGAGAGAATTGGCCATCTGCAAGGACGTTGCCCAGGGGACACCAGGATGATTTGATGTTTTTATCATCCTTGTGGGAGGCTTCCCTCATGTCTCCGTATGAGGAGTTGGAGCTGATAGAGGGAGCTCATCTGCTTCTCCCCAGATTCGAACCTGCGACCTGTCGGTCTTCAGTCCTGCCGGCACAGGGGTTTAACCCACTGCGCCACTGGGGGCTCCTCGGCTGAGATAACGAGACCCTTGCTTTCTGATGGTTCATTGTCCTAAAATTTTGTTTCGTGTATAAGATTAATACAAATATTGTGCATAAAATTAGCTATAGGCTGTGTGTATATGAAACATCAATGAATTTAATGTTTAGGCTTGGGTCCCTTCTCCAGAACATCTTATTGTATATGGATCTGGAAATGCAGGTATTATAAGAATGGAAAAAAATCCAAAATGTTTCGGGTCCCAGGTATTTCAGATAAGGGATACTCAATCCATAACTCTTAATGGTCCCAATGATCAGGAATTCAGAAAGATTTAGCAGTGAATGGTGTGTGAAAAGCCCACTTTGTGAGCTGCAAAACTGTCAGGAATTCAATAGGAAAGCTATCCCCCAGCAGAGCATCTCATATAGATGGAGATATATTGATTGAATTATTCACTTCCAGTTTGTTGCTACAATAAAGAAGAATGCAGTGTGTTTTTTACATTCTTGGACTCTTATGTCTCTTCTTTACATCAGATTCAGATATTATCTTTTGTTTCTTCTCTTTCCCCATTTTACTGCCCCTGTCCATGACCACCACCCAAATAACATCTGCTCTGTAATTTCTTTAGCCAGGAAAATAACAGAAGAGCAACAGTTTCGATCTCAATAGATTTGTTGACTTCCAACTCCAAGTGTAAGATGTCTGCCTGTGAATTATTATTTATGTCTCCCAAAGAGTTTGGAATCAGGACTCATGGTGGAGTGCAACCGAGAATGAGGATTGCATTCAGAAAAACATATGGTGCTGGTAGCAAACATAAGCTATTGTGAAGCTAGGCAAACACAGCATCACAAATGGGACCAGCTGAAATCTGAATCAACAGGTGGTTTTTGCCTAGAAATTCATAACTTGGGCCTGGGAAAAAATTGGCCTTCAAGGCAGAATTCTTCATCCGGTTTATACATGCTTCCCAGACACAGCAGGTTGTTATCTGGATATATGATGAGGCATGGCAGATTCATTGTTACTTAATGCAATGCCCGTGTAATAAGTGCTGACTTCAAAGCATAGAAAGTGAGTTGTAAAAAATGGCCCATGCTTCCGTGGGAAAACGGAGGGAAGAGATGGGCTGGTGAAAGAAGCTTAAAGGCATAAAATATTGTATGTCCAACCCCAGCATGGCAAACCTGCACATCTGACACTATGCATCAGCTTGGAATTTAAATCTGTTTTAGGACCAGAAGCAGATGGATCTTTTCTTTCAGAGAATGGAAACACACACAGCTTTTTTATGATCAGAGCTCAAAGTAATTCCTAGCTACTATGGGTTTTTTTATCGTGTCAGGGGAAACCAGACCATTGTATTACATTTCTAACTGAACAAAATAAACAAACAGATAAAAAAACACAGAGTTTGCAAACTTGGTAGTTGATTAAATGTCCTTTGACCAGTATCTGGCCACTTGGATGCCTCTGGTGTTGCCGCAAGGAGGTCCTCCATTGTGCATGTGGCAGGGCTCAGGTTGCATTGTAGCAGGTGGTCAGTGGTTTGCTCTTCTCCACACTCGCATGTCGTGGATTCCACTTTGTAGCCCCATTTCTTAATATTGGCTCTGCATCTTGTGGTGCCAGAGTGCAGTCTGTTCAGCGCCTTCCAAGTCACCCAGTCTTCTGTGTGTCCAGGGGGGAGTCTCTCATTGGTATCAGCCATTGGTTGAGGTTCTGGGTTTGAACCTGCCACTTTTGGGCTCTCGCTTGCTGAGGTGTTCCAACGAGTGTCTCTGTAGATCTTAGAAAACTATTTCTAGATTTAAGTCATTGACGTGCTGGCTGATACCCAAACAAGGGATGATCTGGAGATGTCTCTGCCTTGGTCCTTTCACTATTGGCTGCTACTTCCCTGCGGATGTCAGGTGGTGCAATACTGGCTAGACAGTGTAATTTCTCCAGTGGTGTAGGACGCAGACACCCCGTGATAATGCGGCATTTATTTATTTATTTCCATCACTTATATCCCGCCCATATCAGCCCGCAGGCGACTCAGGGCGGTCTCATTAAGAGCCACATCCACTGTTTTAGTGGTGAGATGTGTTCCACTCTGGGCGTGCATACTCAGCAGCAGAGTAGGATAGCACAAGGGTAGATGTCTTCACTGTGTCTGGTTGTGATCCCCAGGTTGTGCCAGTCAGCTTTCATATGATATTGTTTCTAGCACCCACTTTTTGCTTGATATTCAGGCACTATGGTTAGGAGATACCAGGAATTGTTGTCAAAAACAGTAATGCATACCCTATAACTGTCCTCACTTGGCAGCCACCTCTCCACAAAAATCAACATTAGACACTGAAATACAACTTGGCTTGAGCTCTGTGAGTGCAGCATTTTTCCAAATGAAGCAGAGAGTGTTTGAGGACTGGGGCAACCATAGGGAGACCAAAGTGCTTATTTATAAAGCTATTGTCCTCTCAACTTTGTTATACACCTGAGAAACGTGGACTATCTACAGATGTCACACTCAACTCCTGGAACAATTCCATCAGCGTTGCCTCCAAAAAATCCTGCGAATCTCTTGGGAAGACAGGCGGACAAATGTCAGTATGCCGGAGGAAGCAAAGACCACCAGCATTGAAGCAATGCTCCTACACCCTCAACTCTGCTAGACTGAGCATATTGTCCAAATGTCCAATCATGTCCCCCAAAACAGTTACTGTACTCCCAACTCAAGAATGGAAAACCTTAAAAACTGTGGCATAGACACCGAGAACTGGGAAACACCGGCCCTTGAGTGCTCTAACTGGAGGTCAGCTGTGACCAGCAGTGCTGCTTGATCACATATGTTTGACTATTCATTTGTGAAATGCTAGAGATTGTGGTGATGTTTCCAAGTCCTGATTTATTCCCTTTGATGCCAAATCTATTAAAGCAGGTGTGACAACCATGTGACTCTACTGATCTTGTTGGATGGCAGTTCCCAGCACCTTTGACCATTCCTGTTGCTGGGCACTGCAGTTGGGCACATTTCTGGAATGGCATCAAGAGGGCATTGTACCCCCAAACAAGAATTCATTTCCCCAATTTTTTCCCCTTTTGGTCTGCAAATTTCCACCATTTCTGAAAATTCTGCAAATCTAGAACCTATTTGCTTTTTTAGTGTTCCCTCAGTGATATTCCTGCCCCTTTGCTTTGGCTTTTTTTTGGGTCATGTCAGGGTTGAGAAACTGCAAGTCACTTCTGGTGTGAGAGAATTGGCCATCTGCAAGGACGTTGCCAGTGGATGCCCAGATGATTTGATGTTTTTATCATCCTTGTGGGAGGCTTCTCTCATGTCCCCGTATGAGGAGCTGGAGCTGATAGAGGGAGCTTATGTCACATTTCTAAATGCCAAGCTGAGTTTTTGGGTTATTGTCATGCTAGAAATTTGGGGAATTAAGAAAAACCTATGGGTAGGGCAGAGCTCTTACTGGGAGAGCAATTTTATCAGTTTCCCTTTCCATAGCTCCTTCAGTTTCCTTGTGGAGAGAGAAAAAAACGGGGTATAAATAGTAATAATAATAGTAATAGTAACAGTAATAATAGCTAAATCTCTGGTTGTGGTTCAGCAACATTCCCAAGTTTGCTATCGTTGTGATATGGGTACAGCCAGGAGTGTTCAAACTACGGTAAAAGAGAATCCACGTAAACATTAGGAAAAACTTCCAGACAGTGATGGCTGTTTGACAGCTGCATATTCTGCCTGGGTGTCTGATGGAGCCTCCTTCTCTGGAGGTTTTTAAACAGAGACTGGATGGCCATCAGTCAGGGGGGCTCTGATTATGTCTTCCTGTGTGGCAGAATGGGATTGGACTAAACGGCCCTTGGGATCTCTTCCAATTCATATTAATTGAAAACACAGAAATGCTTAACCACTCTAACAACCACCATGTCAGACTACACTTAGAAGCCATTGAAATCCATAAGCATGTGGGCAATTTCAACAGAAAGGAGGAAACCATGAAAATGAACAAAATCTGGCTACCAGTTTTTTTTTTAAAAAAAACCCTCTAAAATCAGGACAGTAAATAAAGAACAACACTCAAAAAACAGGGGAATTCCAGACAGGGAATGATAGCTTACACTTCCCAACAAAGGATTCCCCCAGGCAGGAAGAAGCCAGGCTTTGAAGCTGCAAGGCTATTCAAGGGTGGCTAATTGCCTTCAACAGGCACGAGTTCTTTCTCCCACCCTGGACATTGCACAGATATATAAATCCTACTTGCCTGTTTTCCAACAGACCTCACAACCTGAGGATGCCTGACATACATGTGGGTGAAATGTCAGGAGAAAATGCTTCTGGAACATGTCCGTACAACCTGAAATACTCACAGCAACTCAGTGATTCTGGCCATGCAAGCCTTCGATGACACCTTGTTCTGCATTGTTTAAAACCAAATAACACCTCGGGTGTCTCATTCCTTGGCCTCTGGAGCTTATTTCCAAAAACACAGCACTCAAAATGAAGAGGGGGGTTGAAATTGTTGGGCCATTCCTTCCTCATACATCATCAGCAAAGCCACTGATTATGTACGCTCGCAAGCAATTAGATCTTGGCTACAGTGCTGTATGAGCTCATTTCTGAAGAAGCGCATACTTTCCTAAATCGCCGGGACCAGAAAGGAACTCTTTATTTTGTCTAGGAGCCTGGCTCTCGGGCCCTTTATGGTTCGCAATTGTGTCACCTCAATGGACTTTCTACAGTGTAGAAGACACAAGTCTCTGTTTAGCTGTTGCTTCATCCTGTGCCGAAAAGGTCAAAAACACTGAAAAAACAAAGCCCAGAAACAGCCAGAACATCACTTCCACTTTTTGGAAAATGATGTTCATTGTGGCTTATAGAGATTGGGAAGGAGTCTCAAGCTGTTCACTATCACCTCCATGCTGAGGAAATATTGCAAAACCAATAGCACTAGTAATCCCAACTTGCAGAGGGTCTGCATCTGGAATCATAGCAGAGACTACAAACAGAGGCTAAAATTCTGCCTGTCTTTCTGTGCTTTTCCCAAAACAAAACTTGGTCGACTTACAGCTGTTCCAAGGAACGGAGTCCCTTGAAGGCATTTTGCTGGATGTTTTGTATTTCATTCTTGTAAAGGTAGCTATGAAAAGAGGGAGAAAGGAAAAGATTATTACTTTTTGGAAATTATGTCCGGTGGGTTTATATAAAATACTAGCTGTCCCCTGCCATGCACTGCTGTGGCCCACTCTGGTGATCTGGAAAATAAAGTCATGAGAAAGTGTTGGTTTCTAATACATGTAATTTCTTTATGCTTCTGGGTAAACAGTTTTTCTTCTTGTTTCTTTGTCAGTGTAGATGTAGAGATTGTCTGGTTTGCCTACTCTGGAACATACAAAATATCATTGTCCTTCTTTAGGGGTCCCTTTCAAATCTATGATACTATATCTCCCTGTGTGTGTGAATCATATCTATCTATATCTATGGCTGGATGGCTCTTTGTAAATAGAGCTTTGATTATGTTTTCTTGCCCTGGTGAAGGGAGTTGGACTGGGTGGCCATAAGGCAGCATTTCTCAACCTGGTCTGGTCACGATGGGGTATCAGAAGGGTCACTAAAGACCACCAAAAAACACAGTATTTTCTGTTGGTCATGGGGATTCTGGGTGGGAAGTTTGGCCCAGTTCTATCATTGGTGGGGTTCAGAATGCTCTTTGATTGTAGATGAACTATAAATCCCAGTAACTACAACTCCTAAATGTCAAGGTCTATTTGTGCCAAGTTTGGTCTAGATCCTTTATTGTTTGAGTCCATAGTGCTCTCTGGATGTAGGTGAATCGCAACTCCAAATCTCAAGGTCAATGCCCACCAAACCCTTCTAGTGTTTTCTGTTGGTCATGGGAGTCCTGTGTGCCAAGTTTGGTTCAATTCCATTGTTGGTGGAGTTCGGAACACTCTTTGATTGTAGGTTAACTATAAATCCCAGCAACTGCAATTCCCAAATAACAAAATCAATTTTTTTGAGTGATGGTCATTTTTTTTTAGTGATGAGTCTTGTGGCCAAATTTGGTCGCAATTTGTCCACTGGATTTTGAGTCATGATGTCACTCAAAATGAACAGAGTATTTATACATACATACATACATACATATATATAATGACATAAGTGAAACCTCTCGTAAAATGGAGATACCAGTCACAAGAAACCCAGCTTTATTTTCTCTGCGTTTTCCCAAAATTTGCCATAGTCACACTGAAGAAAATCATTTTTTTTAGTGATGGTCAATTTTTTTGACTGATGACTCTTGTGGCCAAATTTGGCCACAATTTGTCCAGTGGATTTTGAGTTATGATGTCACTCAAAATGAACAGAGGATAGATAGATAGATGATAGATAGATAGATAGATAGATAGATAGATAGATAGATAGATAGATGATAGATAATATGACATAAGTGAAACCTCTAATAAAATGGAGATACCAGTCACAAGAAATCCAGCTTTCTTTTCTCTGTGTCTTCCCATAATTTGCCATAGTCACACTGGAGAACCTAGAGATTTCTAGAGACAGCATTGTAATCAAACTCCAAGTAATAAAATCCAGAAAAAAGTCAAACCCAATAATGTGGAGGATTAACTATATATGGGAGAGGAAAACAGTAGGAAAGAGGAAAACAGAAATAAATTATACAGGGTACCCCAAAATTATCTATTGAGGAAAACAAAAACAAATCATAAAGGGTACCCTAAAATTACATCTTTGCAATTTCAAATCTGAGTAGAGCCAAGTGACCTCTACTTTGAAAGGTGAAGGCATATAGGCTTGTCTGTAAAACAGGGCCAGTAAGAAACAGAAGTAGGTCCAGTTGGGAAGAGCCTCTCTTCCACCCTTGAATAAAATCTGAGTGAGCTTTGCAGTTATTCATTTGTGGGAAAAGATGTGTTAATTAATGGCCATGTATCAATCCGTATTTTCTAAAGTTGGAAGGAAGAAACTAGAGTAAGTAAAGAAATTGTGTTGGCACTTAGCGTTGGCACTTAGCCCATTTCTTGCATCCGGTATCATGTATTAGTAGTAATAGCAGTAGATTTCTCATTGTGAACTGTGCTGTAGACATAATTGGTTAAACCTGGATATTTTGGCATTGGTAAAACAATGAGGGTCTAAAAAACACTGGATAGAAGTACAGTGTTCCCTTGCTACTTTGCGGTTCGCTTCTCCCAGACTTGCTGTTTTGTGGTTTTTCAAAAAATATGACAAGCGAGGCAACTGGCACCCTACCTATTTGACAAGGCTCTGGCAACTGTCATCCATGCCACGGTCATGTCTAGGCTGGACTATTGCAATGCCCTGTATGTGGCCCTTACGATGTCTATGACCCGAAAGCTTCGTATTGTTCAGAATGCGGCAGCCGGGTTACTCACAAGAACGCCCATGAAATGCCATATAACACCAGTGCTGCAACATTTACATTGGCTTCCAACTGAGTACCGTAGCCTGTATAAGATGCTAGTTCTGACCTTTAAAACTCTTTATGGCTAGGGTCCATCGTACCTTAGGGACCACCTCTCCTTCTCCCATCATCGGAGGTTGCAACGACCAGCCCAACGTGACTTACTCCATATACCGGGTGCTAGAGAAGTGCACTTGGAAAGGACCAGACACAGGGCGTTTTCTATTTCTGCCCCTGCCTTGTGGAACTCCTTGCCGCCCTACATGAGAGCCATGCATGACTTAGGGCCTTCTACTCTAGCACTTAAGACCTGGCTTTTTATTAGAGCATTCGATCTCTGTTAATTTTTAATTTTTGTATGTATGTATTTTATCTTTTGTAATTTAGCTGTAAATCGCCTGGAGCATTCTCGGATGGAGGGCGATTAATAAGTTATTAAATGATGATGATGATGATGATGATGATGATGATGATGATAATGATGATGACTTGGTGGTTGTGGTTGGTTAAAATCATCCCTTCCGACACCAGGGAGGGAGGGAGGGGGAAAGAGGAGAGGAAAGAGAAGGCAAAGGGATTGAGTGGGAGGAGGGGGAGAGAGGAGTGGGCTCTCCTACACCTCGCATGCACTGAGGCAGTACATATATATGTTTTTATTGCTGTTGTTATGATTTTATTGATGCTAATGTTTTAAATTGTGTTGTATTTTGTGGCATTGAATTTTGCCTTGTAAACCGCCTCGAGTTGCCACAAGGCTGAGAGGGGCAGTACACAAATAAAGTAAATAAATATAAATAATATATAGCGTCCCTACTTAGCGGATTTTCACTTATCGCGGATGGTCCTGGAATGTAACACCCGTAATAAGTGAGGGAACACTGTAAACATTGGAGAGACTGGTGTTATTCCCCCCCCCCCTCAATATATATATTCATTTGCAGGTTTTCCATTTTCAACCCAATGAATGTGGAGGGCTGACTCAGTGTATGTACACGATCTTAAAAGTATCAGATCCCACCTGATCTCGAAAGCTAACAAGAGTCAGCTCTGGTTATTATTTGGATGGGAGACCCTTGATGAATTCTAAGTGCTGTAGTTTATAATTCAGAAAAAAAGGACTAGCAAAATCACCTGTGAGGATTCTTTGCCTCGTCATGAAATCCCTGGAGTCATCGTAAGTCCTTAGATGGCATGATGGCATATGCCATGATGGCATATCCCCAGCATTATTATCCTCTCCAAGCTGAGAAAAAAAAGTTACTCACAGGTATTTCAGGTTCTCAAGTTCTTCAAATGACCCTCGGGCAATGTGCTTTATTTGGTTGTTGTTCAAAAGTCTGTACAAGGAAAAAAAGAGAAGATAAAGGAAATAAATATATAGGGAAAATGGAGGATGGATCCGGTCTATCCCTAACAAGCTGGGACAATTGGAAGATATGCAACTGAAAGGGGAAGGGAATTCAAACTAGTCAGAGGTTGTTGCGCCCCAGGACAGGAATAACCTTCTGATTTTAAAACACCACACATTGAGTAGGGGAAAACAATCCTTTTTATTGAAGATAAGTAATAGCAGCAAAGTAAAAAAGCACTTTAAAGGAGTAGGCAAATCCAATTAAGTAAGAAGATAAGCAAGAACAAATTAGTCCAAGGTAGGGTCCAGCAAATTCCAAAAACAAAGTCCAGACTTCTCTAACAAAATCCAAAGATCCAGGAAATGTTGATCAAAGGCATGAGTATGTAATCACAAAACACAAAGAGTCAAACCACGAAACAAGAAATCTTTAAACATGAATCTTCCTAGCAAAGGCTTCCATGAGACAAGAACAAGAACTTAGCAGGAATCTAAACGATGCTTCATTGGACTATATTTCCCATGCTTAGAACTTTATATCCCCTCGTTAAGCCATTCCAAGTACTCAGAAATTGGTTTCATTTTCCCTGAACACCTCTTATCTTTTTCTGTTGAAGCCTGGCAGAACGCCGAAGGCCTTGGTTGAGCTGTCCTGTTTTGGCTAATTTCCACCCGCTTGTCTATATGCTCAATAGTTTCTGCAGGTGCCAAGTTGTTTTCAAGCCCTAAATCCTGGGAACTCTCTGGGAGCAATTCAGGGAGTAAACCATCGTCCCTATACTCCGTAGGAACATTCTCATGGGAAACTACACTTGGAACAGTTGTCTCTATGTCATTCTCTGCATCAGTATCATTAACCAAACCATTGCCATCTTGAACCTCACTGACATCATTCCCCACATCCAAAGCACCCTGATCCTGAAACACAATCACAGGATGAACTCCAACAGAGTTGTGGATACCTCAATCCTCTCCCAGCATAGTAGCTGATTATCTTATTGCAAAAGATTGGACAAGATGGCCCTTGGGATCCCTGCAGTGTTAAAGTTAATCCCATGCCCTGTTTTGAAACAAGACTTTCTGCAATGACTTTGCCCTTAGAAAAATTGCAAACCCATAGACATTTGGAAGACATATCTCCCTGTTGTCTCATCTAGTTGGGTCCTTGGCCTAATGCCTATGTTAGCTTCTTTCCAAAAGCAGGCCATCTGCTCCAAAAATGTTCTTTGGGAAGTATTTTCCTTTTTAGGGGGTGGAACACAACCATGGCTGAAAGATCAAAAAGCTCAGCTCAGAGGGCAGGATTACAACAGTGCTTCCCAAAAATGAATTTTGTGTCCCCAATGAAATTGCCCTCCAGTTCCCATTATTTCTAGCATTGCCAAGAGGGAGACATCAAAAAAGGTTTACAACTAGAATTCTTCTATTTGCTGTGTTACTATTTCTTTCTGGTGCTTTTGTAATGTCTAAATAATTTTTTGAATTGTTTAACCTGAGTTAGTGGGAAGCCTCCCAGAAATCGTCCAGTCCAGGACAAGCTATAATAAGGAAAGGAACCATAAAATCTTGTGTGGAGTTGCTAAATCGCTGTAGGTTCCACCCTCACTGAGGTGGCTTCGAAAATGATTGAGAACATTGCAGTCCTGTTCAAAACAAGCGAGGGTTTTTATTTGCCAAGGGTTGAAAAATAATGCCAAAAGATTAGCATGGAATCCACTGCCTGGAGGCTTTTTCTCAAGAGCTGTGGGACTGGAAGGGAATATTATGACAACGAACATGAAAACAGGGCTGAAATCTTGCTGGATCTGTCCTGACCATTCCTACACCATTCGCCTTCATTTGGAACATTGACAGGAATGTACCTATGGGAGGGGGTCATATAAGGTTTTTTTGTGTGTTTCAGGAGCAACTTGAGAAACTGCAAGTCACTTCTGGTGTGAAAGAATTGGCCATCTGCAAGGATGTTGCCCAAGGGACGCCTGGATCTTTGATGTCAAATAAGGTGCCATATATACTTAAGTATAAGCTGACCCGAATATAAGCCGAGGCACCTAATTTCACCACAAAAACCTAGGAAAATGTATTGACTTGAGTTTAAGCCAAGGGTGTTAAATGCAGCAGCTAATAAATGGGAAGGGGTGGTCAAAAAAGTGGGAAAATGAGGTGGAAAAGGGGTATTTGGAAAAGTAGGACAGTTTGGAGTGGGAAGGGGGACGACTGAGGTATGAAAGGGGGGCTAGAAACTGGGAAAGGTTGGGATGGAAAGGGGGTCTAGAAAAGTGGGAAAGAGCCCCATCTAGAGTGTGATGGGGGGGGGGGTGGAAAAAGCTGGGGAAAATGGAGTGGAAAAGAGAGACAGCTGGAAAAGATTGGGATGGGGAAAGGAAGACTGCAAAATGAGCAAGACTAGAGTGCAAAAGGGGGGCTGGAAAGGTGGAAAGATCAGAGTGAGGGCAAGTGGAGAAGTGGGAAAGATTGAGGTGGGAATAATAATAATAATAATAATAATAATAATAATAATAATAAACTATTTTTATACCTCCATCTCCCTTAAGGGACTCAGGGCAGCTTACAAAGGGACAAGCCCAGAGAGCACAAAGTTAAAAAGTAACACAATAAGATAGCATCAAAACAAAACCAAATAAAAACATCTGTGGAATGTCCAGGATGGGTGAAAGAACTCTTGTCTGTTTGAGGCAGGTGTGAATGTTGCAATTGGCCACCTTGAATAGCATTGAATGGCCTTGCAGCTTCAAAGTCTGGCTGCTTCCTGCCTGGGGAAATCCTTTGTTGGGAGGTGTTAGCTGATTGTTTCTTGTCTGGATTTCCCCTGTTTTTGAGTGTTGCTCTTTATTTACTGTCCTGATCTTAGAGTTTTTTAAAAAATACTGGAAGCCAATTTTTGTTCATTTTCATGGTTTCCTCCTTTCTGTTGGGATTGTCCACAGGCTTGTGGATTTCAGTGGCTTCTCTGTCTAGTCTGACATGGTGGTTGTGAGAGTTGTCCAGCATTTCTGTGTTCTCAAACAATATGCTGTGTCTAGGTTGGTTCATCAAGTGCTCTCCTATGACTGACATCATCAACCAGAGAAGGCAGGAAGCAGCCAGGTTTTGAAGCTGCAAGGCTGTTAAATGCTAATCAATGTGGTCAATTGCAACATTCACACCTGCCCCAAGCAGACAAGAGTTCTTTCTCCCATTTTGGACATTCCATAATATATTGTCGAAGGCTTTCATGGCCAGAATCACTGGGTTGTTGTAGGTTTTTCGGGCTATATGGCCATGGTCTAGAGGCATTCTCTCCTGACGTTTCGCCTGCATCTATGGCAGGCATCCATAATATAATAAACTTCAGTTGCCTAGTTTCCAATAGATTTCACAACCCCTGAGGATGCCTGCCATAAACTCACAGCGACCCAATGTTTCCTATATTTTGAAGCATGCTTAGGATCACAGCCTGAACCACTCTCATTCCTTCCACTGTGGAGATGTGCAATGAACCTCCAAGGGGAAGACATAGGATGGACTGCCATGACAACTATAAACAAAGCAGATCAATGCCGTTGAAAACGCCCCGTCAGGACCTAACATTGACTGCAATTAGTCACTGGCGAGAAACAATTACCCGTCTGTTCCCACACAGAGAGTTTAACAGCCAGTGAAAATTGCAACCCACCATTGTCATCAACATTTTCATTATGGGATTGAGCAGGCAGAGACAGCGATAACATTTTTGGCTGAACTGAACAAATGTCCTTGGCACAATCTCCATTCACCCAATCTTTTCCATTTGCCCCAGGTTTTCTTTAATTATTCTAATGTGACATTTTAAATCTCTGTTCTAATTGCTGTGCTGTTTTGGTTGGTTTTACAACTGTGTTGTTGAAGGTTTTCACGGTCAGAATGTCTGGGTTGCTTCTGGAACGTGGTCATATGGCTGGGAAAATTCACAGCAACCCTGGTTTTACAACTGCTTCTGCCTTACACCTTATTAAGATATGTGTATCATACAAAAGCTGAATGGCACAACCTGGGGATCACAGCCAGACACAGTGAAGACATCTGTCCTTGCGCTATGCTACTCTGCTGCTGAGTATGCATGTCCAGTGTGGAACACATCTCACCACACTAAAACAGTGGATGTGGCTCTTAATGAGACATGCTGCATTATCACGGGGTGCCTGCGCCCTACACCACTGGAGAAATTACACTGCTTAGCCGGTATTGCACCACCTGACATCCACTGGGAAGTAGCAGCCAATAGTGAAAGGACCAAGGAAGAGACATCTCCAGCTCATCTTCTGTTTGGGTATCAGCCAGCACGTCAACGACTTAAATCTAGAAATAGTTTTCTAAGATCTACAGAGACACTTGCTGGATCACCTCAGCAAGCGAGAGTCCAAAAGTGGCAGGCTGAAACCCAGAACCTCAACCAATGGCTGATAACAAATGAGAGACTCCCCTCTGGGCACAGAAAACTGGGCAACTTGGAAGGCGCTGAACAGACTGCGCTCTGGCACCATGAGATGCAGAGCCAACCTTAAGAAATGGGGCCACAAAGTGGAATCCACGACATGCGAGTGCGGAGAAGAGCAAACCACTGACCACCTGCTGCAATGCAACCTGAGCCCTGCCACATGCACAATGGAGGACCTTCTTGCAGCAACATCAGAAGCACTCCAAGTGGCCAGATACTGGTCAAAGGACATTTAATCAACTACCAAACACACACATTTTGTATTTTGTCTGTTTGTTTGCTTTGTTCTGTTAGAAATGTAATATAATTGACTGGTTGCCCTGACACAACAAATAAATAAATGTTTTGAGAAGGGAAACAAACAAAATGGAGCAAATCTGCCAAAGCCTTGGAATTGTTTGATGCACCTCTGGCATGCTAGATAGTTTGGATGACCACTCGGCCCCCTCCAACTGTCCTGAAGATGAAGGTCTATGGGGAAAGTTACTTTTTTGGACTATAACCCTTAGCTTCTGCCATCCAGCAGGGCCAGGAACTTTTATTCAAAAAAAGTAACTTTCTCAAACTTCCAACGCTAGTTTTCCTGTTTTGTGTAACCCAATGTCTAGCTATACATACACTTTTTCTTAAGATCTATGGTTGTGTTTGGGTTACTATGAAACCTCACATGGGCGAGGCTTAACCTGCAAAAGGAGAAGGTCTCATTTGTATGTCATGCAACCATGATGCTTTCTACAGCAGGAAATTCATTATTTCCATTGTTTGAGTCCTTTGGGATAAAATCTAAGGTCTGGTTCAGAAACAAAGTTTGGAAAAAAGTTTAGATAACTTTTTTTGTTGCAGATTGCTAGAAAGTGCTTGAGCTGAACATGAGGAAGAACTTCCTGACTGTGAGAGCCGTTCAGCAGTGGAACTCTCTGCCCCGGAGTATGGTTGGGGCTCCTTCTTTGGAAGCTTTTAAACAGAGGCTGGATGGCCATCTGTCAAGGGTGATTTGAATGTAATATTCCTGCTTCTTGGCAGGGGGTTGGACTGGATGGCCCATGAGGTCTCTTCCAACTCTTTGATTCTATGATTCTGTGATTAACGTGGCAGCACCATAACTTGAACAACAGTCATTGATGTATTGGTGGATTTAATAACTTCTTAAAAAGTATACTCTGGTTGCTCTTCAGAGTGTATAAATATTACGCCTTTTACTAAAGATTTCAGTAGAGAAGAACAGTTATGAGTTTTTGATCAATTTTTTGAGGTTCTACTTTGGTAGGGCTGATTTATTATGGTGAAAATAGATCTGCTGCATATGGATTAGAACACTTTGCAGGGTTTTTTGTGTGTGTCAGGAGCGACTTGAGAAACTGCAAATTGCTTCTGGTGTGAGAGAACTGGATGTCTGCAAGGACGTTGCCCAGGGGCCTGAATGTTTTGAGGTTTTACCATCCTTATGGGAGGCGTCTCTCTAAGGCCCCCGCATGGGGAGCTGGAGCTGTCAGAGAGAGCTCATCCACGCTCTCCCTGGATTCGTCCTGCTGGCACAAGGGTTTAACCCGCTGTGCCACCAGGGGCTTCACTTAGCAGTTAATGTGTGTTGACATTGTGCTAGTTGCCATAATTCAATCAGAACTAGGCAATTCTGAGTTATAATTTTGCAAGATCTCTAGGCTTGGGTTGCTGTGATTTTTCTGGGCCATATGGCCATGTTCCAGAAGCATTATCTCCTGACGTTTCACCTACATCTATGGCAGGCATCCTCAGAGGTTGTGAATTCTGTTGAAAACTAGGCAAGTGAGATTTATATATATGTGGAATAATATCCAGGGTGGGAGAAAGAACACTCCAGTCTTGTTTTGATTGTATTTTGGTGCTTGACAGAATGAGGTTCGACTAGAATCTAGCCCTGGAGTCTCTCCAAATTGTGAATTGCTCCCTATCCCTCAATAACAGGCATGGGCAAACTTGGACCCTCCAGGTCATTTGGAATTCAACTCCCACAATTCCTAACAGCTGGTAGGGCCCAAGTTTGCCCCTGACTGCTCAATGATATCAATTAACTCCCCCATTTGACTAAATCATATGGCGAGATCAAGACTCATCCTGAGTACGCATCTACTGTTGTCCTGTATCCTGAAAAGACCCCAGAATACCAAATATTAATAGGATCCAACCCATTCCGAAGCCAAGCACATGAGCTTTTAAAAGCTGGGATCCAACTCAAATGCAGATCCGGCCAAAAACAATGGAGCAGGTGATACCGCTTGCACAGCTAGAGCCAAAAAAACAAATAGTGCTGGCGTGAAGAGCATCCAGCAGACTATTTCTGAATCTATTCACTGTCCAGGAGCCAAGAGAGTGAGACCATCCTTAGAGGGACTATTCCTGCCAGGTCTGTGGATCAAGCAGCTCATTAGACTAATTTAGGTAGTAGAGGTTCAGTGCCCTTTATCCCAAGCATAGGCCAACTTTGGCCCTCCAGTTGTTTTGGACTGCAACTCCCATAATTCCTAACAGCAGGTAGGCTGTTAGGAATTGTGAGAGTTGAAGTCCAAAAGTATTTTGGAGTTCAGAATTTGGAATACCCATATTTGTAAATGCCTACATAATGACATATCCATGTCCAAACATGAAATTCACAAACTGAAGGTAACTTTAATACACAAAATTTTAAAATTATTTTGGAGCACAAACCATTGTGTACACTTAACTATCAGAAAGCAAAAGGGTTACTATCTCATCTACCCATATGGAAAAGTTTGGACGATTTTGGTTTGCAGAATTTTGGGTATGTAACACAATCTGTGTTCCTGTGTTATGAATTACATTTCCTACTTGGTACTGCCATAAAAACATGAGGAAAGTTTAACAAATTGCAAAAAAAAAATATGTTTTTGCAGGAGGGACATCTTGCAGTGCATTTTGCTATAGTTTTTCTATGACTATGTCATTGCATCTCAACATATTTTGTGGCAGCCACAAAAACAAAGTTTCTTGAGTATAACAACTACTTTCAAAGTATGTACCTCACAATTAAACAGGAAATAACACTTTCAAGCCAAGAACAGACAAAAGATCAATTTTTATTACACAGTGTAAGGGATGCTGAACCTGATTCAGCTTTTCTACATCTTAGGTTTTTTTCCCATGTCAGGAGTGACTTGAGGAACTGCAAGTTGTTTCTAGTGTGAGAGAATTGGACGTCTGCAAGGATGTTGCTCAGGGGATGCCCAGCTGTCTTACCATCCTATGGGAGGCTTCTCTCGTGTCCCTGCATGAGAAGGTGGAGCTGACAGATGGGTGCTCACCCCACTCCCTGGATTCTAACCTCCAAACTTTCGGTCAGCAGTCCTGCCGGCACAAGGGTTTAACCTATTGCACCACCGGGGGCAATTTTACATTTTAGGTAAGACACTGCATAAAATAAAAGAGTGCAATAAGTGATTAAGAACAGCAAGGGGGTCTTAAATAGTGATTGGTGGGATTAATGGGTAGCCAGTCTGGGAACGGAGACAAAAATATAACCTTTGTTATTATTTTTTAAAATCCATTTTTCTATGTGTTATCATATATTCTGAGGCCCCGGTGGTGCAATGGATTAAACCCTTGTGCTGGCAGGACTGCTGACTGATAGGTCAGCGGTTTGAATCTCTGAAGAGCAGGTTGAGATCCCTCTGTCAGCTCCAGCTCCCCATGCGGAGACATGAGAGAAGCCTCCCACAAGGATGGTAAAAAACAGATATCCAGGTGTCCCCTGAGCAAAGTCCTTGCAGATGGCTATTCTCTCACAACAGAAGCAACTTGCATTTTCTCAAGTCACTCCTGAAATGGAAAATATATATATATATCCTCAAAGGCATCCAGCTATAGTCTTTCCATGGGTGCATCTAAACTGTAGTTTCCATGGGTGCATCTACACTGTAGTATTAATGCAGTTAGACACCACTTTAACTATCATGGCTCAATGCTATGGAATACTGGGAGTTGCAGTTTTAGGCTTTTGTGAAACTATCCAAAGGGCAGCTCTATTGTTTAGGGGAATGACAGAAAAAACTCTGGCACAGAAGCACCATTTCCGACTACAGTCCCCAAGATTCCATTGGAAGAAGCTGTTTAAGGTGCTACCAAACTGGTATAATTGTGCATTCAGAAGAAGACCTATAAACCACTCTAAACACCTTCACGGAAGCATATGAGCAGCTTGGCCTGTCATTAAACATTGAGAAAACCAAAGTGCTCTTCCAGCAGTCACCAGGCAATCCCTCTCCAATGCCAGAAATACAGCTTAATGGTGTAACATTAGAAAATGTTGACCATTTCCGCTACCTTGGCAGCCACCTCTCCACAAAAGGCAACATTGACACTGAAATTCAACACCGCCTGAGCTCTGCAAGTGCAGCCTTTTTCCAAATGAAGCAGAGAGTGTTTGCAACCAGGACATCCGAAGAGATACCAAGGTCCTTGTTTATAAAGCTATTGTCCTCCCAACCCTGCTATATGTTTGCGAGATGTGGATAGTCTACAGACGTCACATGCAACTCCTGGAACGATCCCATCAGCGCTGCCTCTGGAAAATCCTGCAAATCTCTTGGGAAGACAAGCATACAAATGTTAGCATGCTGGAAGAAGCAAAGACCGCCAGCACTGAAGCAATGCTCCTTCGCCATCAACTCCGCTGGACCGGCCATTGTCCGGATGCCTGACCGCCGTCTCCCAAAGCAGTTGCTCTACTCCAAACTCAAGAACAGAAAATGGAATGTTGGTGGGTAGGAAAAGAGATTTAAAGATGGGCTCAAAGCCAACCTTAAAAATTCTGGCATAGACACTGAGAACTGGGAAGCTCTGGCCCTTGAGCGTTCCAGCTGGAGGTCAGCTGTGACCAGCGGTGCTGTAAAATTTGAAGAGACACGAATGGAGGGTGAAAGAGAGAAGCATGCTAAGAGGAAGGTGCATCAAGCCAACCCCAACCGGGACAGCCTTCCACCTGGAAACCAATGCTCTCACTGCAGGAGAAGATGCAGATGAAGAATTGGGCTCCACAGTCACATACAGACCCACTGAAAGAACACTGACCTTGGAGGACCGTCATCCTCAGACTACGAGGCATCGCCTAAGTGAAGGGAATAATTGTGCAGTGCAGAGACCTCCCTGTGGAGCACAGACTTACAGTGTGTTGAGGTTCTTCAGATTACGGAAGGATCCAGGCTGGATTTCTCTGATGTGGTTGAAGCGCAGGTCCCTGCAAGAGAGAAATCATTCCGTCTGTCAAAAGATAGGCAGTTCCATGATTCTACTGGAAGTTAATAAGGTAAACTGTATCATCAGCATCATCATCATCCCTACTTTTCTCTCCCCATAACTAAACTGAGACAAAAACAAAGCAGTTGAAGACACACAAAGTTAAGATTACATAAACCAAAGAGTGCATCTGTATGGTCAAATTAATGCAGTTTGACACCACTTTAACTGCCAGGGCTCTATGCAATGGAACCCTGGGATTTGTAGTTTTACAAGGTCTTTTGCCTTCTCTGCCAGAGGGTGCTGGTGTCTCACCAAACTACAACTCACAGTATTCCATAACATTAAAGGGATGTCAAAGTGTGTTAATTCTATAGAGTCAATACACTTGAAATTTTATATACAATGAACTAAAGGTGTCACTATCATGGTCAACAGACTTCAGCGTATTTGGGGATTTCAATGTTTATTTAACCTGTGAATGCAGCCTAGGATTACATTGCCATTGTTAAAATATTACCCCAACTCTGCCTCTTCTGGAAACTTTTAGCAAAGCAACTTCCTTAGCCAGGGATGCATCTATACCAGGCATGAGCAACTTGGGCCCTCTGGGTGTTTTGGACTTCAAGTCTCACAATTCCTAACAGCCTAGTGTGTTCAGCTTTCTTAGAGAAGCCATTGAAATCAACAAGCATGTAGACAATTTCAACAGAAAGGGGGAAACCATGAAAATGAACAAAATCTGGCTACCATATTTTTTTAAAAACCCTAAAATCAGGACAGTAAATAAAGAACAACACTCAGAAAACTGGGGAATTCCAGACAGGAAATAATCAGAGCCTGCTAACACCTCCCAACAAAGGATCGCCCAGCCAGGAAGCAGCCAGGCTTTGAAGCAACAAGGCTATCTAAAGCTAATCAAGGTGGCCAATTGCAACATTTACACCTGCCTCAAGCAGACAAGAGTTCTTTCTACCACCATGGACCTTCAACAGATATATAAACCTCCCTTGCCTAGTTTGTGGCAGCCACAAAAATGAAGTTTCTGGAGTAGAATCATAGAATCAAAGAATTGGAAGAGACCTCATGGGCCATCCGGTCCAACCCCATTCTGCCAAGAAGCAGGAATATTGCATTCAAATCACCCCTGACAGATGGCCATCCAGCCTCTGTTTAAAAGCTTCCAAAGAAGGAGCCTCCACCACACTCCGCGGCAGAGAGTTCCACTGCTGAACGGCTCTCACAGTCAGGAAGTTCTTCCTCATGTTCAGATGGAATCTCCTCTCTTGTAGTTTGAAATCATTGTTCCGTGTCCTAGTCTCCAAGGAAACAGATAACAAGCTTGCTCCCTATTGAACTACTTTTGAAATAGGTGCCACATAATTAAACAGAAAATAACACAAATCAAGAACAGGAAGTTTTTCAAATTTTGTTAAATACTGTTATCATCATCACCATCCTGCTTTTTCCCTCTTAAAACAGACTCAAACCAAACACATACACACACACACATTGAAAGATGATTTAAAAGTGTTAAAATAAATTGGTAAAAGTATTAAATCATCAAAATACTATAAAATGCATTAAAACCAATCAGCACCCTCTGTCTCGGTCTTAAAAGCATTCTTTAGAAGTCTGCTTATGGAGCCTGGCAATGGGCTGGAGGAGCGCATTTCCCTCTGTGCCAGTAAATGTCTTGCAAAATCCTCATTTGTTATTATATATTTTTAACTAGGATTCAAATCCTGAGTCATCGTCCGACTCTTAGGTCTCTATACCACACTGGTTGCTTTACCAGGTATCTATTTGTCATTGCGTTTTAACGTGTTGCCAAATTTCATGGGTTTTTTATACTTTTCGAAACTATTTACTGCTTCAATCTGGAATAGGTTTACACTGCTTTTAGGGTTTTATTTGCATGCTGCCGTGAGAATCCCAAATAAAAGGAAGGATATAAAGAAAAATATTGAATTCTTTCCAGTAATAGCCAGTGCCCCCCCACCCGTATGTATGTATGTATGTATGTATGTGTATATATTTATGTTTCAAGACAAATTCAACAACAGTTTTAAATGCTGGGAAACGTTAGTAGGTAAAGGTTGTCCCCTGACATTAAGTCCAGTCATGTCTGACTCTGGGGTATGGTGCTCATCTCCATTTCTAAGCTGAAGAGCCAGCGTTGTCCATAGACACCTCCAAGGTCATGTGGCCAGCATGACTGCATGGAGCGCCGTTACCTTCCCGCCAGAGCGGTACCTATTGATCTACTCACATTTGCATGTTTTCAAACTGCTAGGTTGGCAGAAGCTAGGGCTGACAGCGGAAGCTCACGCCGCTCCCTGGAATCGAACCTGCAACCTTTTGGTCAACAAGCTCAGCAGCTCAGTGCTTTAACCCACTGCGCCACCGGGGGAAATGTTACATTCAGGATTATCCCAGAAGATTTTGGGTGCATCTACACTATAGAATAAATGCAGTTCGATGCCTCTTGAACAGTGTGCTGGTATGGCTGTACCAGGAGCTCCAACTTCCTTTGCTTTCTTTGAGTGTTTACATGTATTCCAAAGTTCCATGCATTTTGCAATAAGGTGGCTTCCCTTGGTTTGCAGCCACCTGCCTATCATCGTTGGTTTTTTTAGTTCCGCCCCTTTCCCCAGGGTTCAGGAAGGAAAGGGAGCCATTTTAGCTCAGCCTTACAGTTGAAAGCTTAGCTACAGGACGTGAATCAGCTCCACCTATAGAGAAGCTTCGTTTCTTATGAAATTCCAGGGGAAAACCGTCCCAAAGGACTCCAGCTGGAGAATCTACAAAGCCTGGACTGGTAGGTCTACTCGGGACCCAAGAAGCAGTTTGGAGCCGGGAGTAGAGCCCACAACAGCAAAGTTTAGAAAGTAGATTGCCCAAGGAGGGGTTAAAAAGGGTTTTCCTCTTAAAGAAAAGAAACAGTTCACGAAGCCAGTTGCCTGTCCCTTGTGGACAAGATTAAGAAAGCCACCAGTTGATTCAAAGCTTTGAAGTATTTGTTTGACCTGTTGAAGATCTGAGAAGTATTTGATTGTTTTGTTGAAGACCTAAGCAATCATAAAGGACTTTGTTAAACTTTTCAAGCTTCTAAAGACTTTGTATAGGAAAATCCATAGGGCCTCTCAGCTGAGGCACCCCGGTTTCCCGCTGGGCACAAAGAGTACATCCTGTTCAAAAGCCAATTACTATAGGCCCAGCACGTGACAGCACAAACAGCCATACCTCAGTGCTATAGAATTCTGGGATTTGTAGTTTCATGAGGCATCAGCTCTCCTTGGCAAAGAAGGTTTGTGGATCCACATCTCCCAGGATTCTATAGCATATAGCCTTTGCAGTTAAAGTGGCATCAAACTATATTAATTCTGCAGTGTAGGTGCACTCTATATCCACGAAAGTCTGGCCATGTTGTCCAAATGCCTGATCACGATCTCCCAAAGCAGTTACTGTACTCCCAATTCAAGAATGGGAAACGTAATGTTGGTGGACAGGAAAAGAGATTTAAAGATGAGCTTAAAGCCAACCTTAAAAACTGGCATAGACACCGAGAACTGGGAAGCCCCGGCCCTTGAGCGCTCTAGCTGGGGGTCAGCTGTGACCAGCAGTGCTGCAGAATTCGAAGAGGCACAAATGGAAGGTGAAAGAGAGAAATGTGCCAAGAGGAATGTGCATCAAGCCAACCCTGACTGGGACCACCTTCCACCTGGAAACTGATATCCTCACTGTGGGAGAACAGGCAGATCAAGAATAGGGCTCCACAGCCACCTACAAGCCCACCACCAATACACTACATTTGGAGGACCATCATCCTTGGGCTATGAAGGATTGCCTAAGTAAGTAAGCTATGGAATCCTGGGATTTGTAGTTTGGTGAGGCACCAGCTCTCCTTGGCAAAGAAGGTTTGTGGAACTACAACCCCCAGAATTCTAAAGAAGCAGTTAAAGTGGCATCAAACTGCATTAATTCTGTAGATGCACCCTATATCCGTGAAAGAGTAAACAAATGTACTAAACATCCATCAGAAAAGGTCTAAATATCTTAAAGGCACCTGATCCTGTTCGAGCTTGGCTGCTAAGCAGGGCCATCCCTGGCTAGTACTTGGATGGGAGACCACAATGAATACCAAGTTCTGTAAAATATATTTCAGAGGAATAGGAGTGGCAAAACCAACTCGGATCATTCCTTGCCAAAGAAAACCCTATAAAATGCATGGGGTCCCCATAAGTCAACAGATAGCTTGAAGACACATGCACACAACTGGAATGAAAACCCTTCCTAAGTCATGCTAATTTCCCTCCCTGCCTCCCATTCAGTATTTATTTATATCTGGTTTGTTTAACGCTCAGGTTGAATGGCAGGGGAAAGATCTGATTTTAATTTAAAAGATTGTTAAGAGCCAAAGAAATAAAGCCAATAAAAGGGTGGGTGGGATAGATTTAATAGGATGGCCCGGTGCCATCTTCCAAGTTCTCTGAAGCGCAGGCATGAATGAAGGACTTCAGAGTCAAACCTTTCCTGTACCTCGGTCACAAAAGCAACGAAATGAAGGTTGATAAAATGGAAAGGGGTTTTTTGTACATGATTTGAATGGGGGAAGATGATTGGTGTGACGAACTTTTCGTTACAGAATTCTTCCAACCTCCCATACAGCAATTATGGTGTGGCTAAGGATACTAGAAGACAGTTATGCTGGGGAAAGTGGAAGGTAAAAGGAAGAGGAGCCGACCAAGGGTAAGATGGATGGATGGCATCCTTGAAGTGACTGGACTGACCTTGAAGGAGCTGGGGGTGGTGACGGCCGACTGGACTGACCTTGACAGGGAGCTCTGGCGTGGGCTGGTCCATGAGGTCACGAAGAGTCGGAGATGACTGAACGAATGAACAACAACAAGGATACATCTACATTTTATAATTAATGCTGTTTGGCATCACTTAATCCATGCTATAGGTTCGTGGGATTTGTAGTTTTGTAAGCTCTGG